AAATTGGGTCATAGATTACATTCTTAATAAACAAAAATTATCAAGGCTACTAGAACAATGAGCTACAGTTCAGTAATTATTACCATCGTTCATAATACTCCCTGCCGTAGCAAACCTGCACACTAAGAGAATTTCCAAGTGCCTGATCAAATTTTCACTAAAATATTTCCTCAACACTATCAGATTTATTCCCTATTTAAACAACATTAGATTAAATGAGTCCTTAGAATTGCCAAGGAATGTATATTGTATGAGGTGTGTTTTTAAGTGAAATTTTAATAATATAGTATGGAAAAAATAAATTTACTTAATTTGAATAAGAATAACAAGGGAATTTAAAATTTAAAGTTTTTTTTTATTCCCTTCCTAACCATTTGGATCCAACTACCATTCAATGTACTAAATTATTTGGTTTTATAAGGTCAATAAAATTTTTGGAAATTCAATTCAATCAATTATTTAAGATGGAAAATAAATTTCAAAATGGATTTATGGATCAAAAATATGAAAAACCAATTTTTACCCCATCCCCATGCCCATAGTCTGATCATTCTGGTTAATGAAATCGTTCAAATAAATGTAGGTTTACTCGTTTGGACCAAATTTGGTAAAAATCAAATTATTTTTCCTTAGATTATTGTGCTAACCGACATACATATTTATATGAATTTGAACATGTGGTGTTTTAGGCCACTGGGGACCTCAAAAAAAAAGGAAAGTTGTTCCAGGATCTAGGTATTACCTACAATAATACTTTTCCCTTTAAGGGAAATACGCTAAACTTGAAATAGATAAGTTTACTGGTTCTAATATGAAAAAAAATTATAACTAGTTTGTATTAATATATGATTAGTAATTTTACTAACTACAGTGTTACAAATATACATGCTTTGGTTTATTCCATAATTAAATTTAATTAATTTTTTTAAAGACAGATAAATTATAGCAATGCATATTTTTTTCATAAAACATTTATAAGTTACTGCCATTATAAAATTGATAACACCTTCATAAAAGACTTTGCACGTAAAACATTTTGACAAATATTGTCTTTAGCGTTTTTTTTTTTTTAATATCCTGAGGATTCCAGCATTGTATCTTTGCTTCCTTTCTTTATCCATTTTCTAGGTTCACCTTAAGACAGGTCTATTATACACTGGTAATAAACAAGACCCAAAAAAGGCCACAAGATTAATATCAATATTAGCAGTTCATAGTTTTATTTGAAACAATGCATTTATAAAATTGAATCACAAAATATATCTTACATTATGGTTACAGGCACGACATTAATTAGGCATCGGTAAACATAGATGTGAATAAATGACGTTAAATCCGCGTTATTAGAAATAGTGACGGAGAAGTAAGGTACAGAGGAAACATTCAATGGTACACTAGTGGTGACTAGGGCAAAGTCTAACACCTCCCCCTCACCCTCATGTACAAAGCTCACGGTGGAGGAAGACCCTGAGCACTGTGCGATAGGAATTTCCGCACGTCAGGTTCTTCCTTGTTCGTAACAGGTATATTTCCGGCACAAAATAATAAAGCTGAAAGCACACAGTCATCCTACAAGCCAATTTCCTCTGTACCTTACCTATCTGTGAGTGGAATCTTTATTTAAATGACAGCTCACTTGATGTATATATGATATGTATGAAATATATGATATAAAATGTATGACGTTAAATAAACCTCTAATATATGATTTACAAAAGGACATACAGCTTCAATAGTCTTCACAAACAGGCTTGCAATATCAGAAACCACCGGAGAATGGTGGGATTTGAACCACGGGCCTTGGAGGACAAAGTCATGCGCATTACCAGGCTTAAAATACCTAGATTTGTAAGAGAATATGATTGTGTATGCTCTTTATATATAAATATACTTTGTATAGGACATTTCTTGAATGCATGCTACTTTATAAACACAGGTGGAATAAAATTCTATTATTTACAATGTTTTCAGATTTACACAAAATTGTATGGTTTTAAACTTCATTAGATGTAATATCATAACTAGTTTGGGAAATGGGTGAGAAAAAATCATCAGTATAGCCCACGATTGCTAGAAAAATACCGGTATGGATCATAAACATCAACAAATGACGTTTTTGGCCCGAAAATAAACATTATTTAACATTGGTTAAATGGAACTGCTAAAACATATGTTCAATGCTATTAGTATAGGATTCGGGCTAACAACGTCATTATGTTTATGTTTATGATCCATACCGGGTATTTTTCTAGTAATCGTGGTATAGCCTAATAAGTGCAGTAAAACCTAGATAACAAGACTCTCCATAGGGATTATTAAAGACTTCATATCAAGGTCGACTTCTTATCGAGGTTTGCAATAACATATGATTAGGGTTAAAATAAATTCTAGGGGATTTGAAAGTGACACTTCTTATCAAGGATGACTTGTTATCGAGGGTCTTATTATCTAAGTTCCTCAGCAATCATCAACTAACTTAACTGTGGTAAAAAAAAGGAAAATTATAGCTCAAAAAAATCTGTAGCAATATCTGTGTTTTGTAAGTTTATCATAAAATTGTTCTTATCAATAATTAAGGTAACACTTTTTACAATAAAACATTTACAAATATAATGTTATTTTATTTACATGAAATTTCATACTGGTGAAATTTATTATCTGTTCCAATAATTTTATACCCTTGTAAATAACATTTAAAATTAAAAAATCATGACAATAGTATAAGTACAATTTCTACACTAACCTACGTAAGCTTAAGAAATAACAGGAATAAATATATCTTAATATAGCTAATTATAACTAGATCAAATCACAGAACAAAAATGCAAGCGTGCTATAGTAATATTTCATAATTAGGGGCTAAAGGGACTCTTTTTGGCCAGAGGTCAAGTTGACAACTTTTTTTTAGTTTTTTTATGAGGTTGGAAAATGAGCGAGGGTCACTTTTTGCCCGTGTGGTGAACTATATTTTCCGTCATATTGCATCATTAATTATTAACAAAAACAAAGCTAGAAAACGAAATACAGTAATTTTTATGTGAAGATAACCTCTCAAAACGACGTCCAGCTTGTTTTCAATTCTGCTGATTTAAATAATCAGCTGTATAGTAAGTGATTCAATTATTTCGTCTATTACGATTGTGTTAATATACCATCGATATGTCGAGCAATCGACAACAATAGGATAAAACCTTACCTAATAAATCAATCGATAAATAATTTTGATCGATACGATTGCCACAATCGAAATTTACAACAGCTGATTTTACTCCCTAGAGAGTAAAAAACCCACAACATGCATTAAAAACGGCTGCTTTTGCTGCAGTATGACGAAAAAGAATAATTTTATATAACTCAACCCTTGAAATTAAAGTGCAATATTTAAACGCAAATAAATTTAAAATTATTTGCGTTTAAATATTGCACTAAATTTTCTAATAAAGTTAATATTTAATCATACTGAGGGGGGTTAAAATTTAACATTAACAATTTAATTAAAAAAAGATTGAAAAAATATCAAACCAACATTCTTTGTAGGTGTTAAACAGTTTGATGAGAAACATTCATGATATAATCCTTCTGTGAAACTTTTCAGAAATTTTTTCATTGTATAAATAATTCTAAGCACAAATATAGTACAGTATTTATCATTTACTTTTATCAAATGTCATACAGTTAAATTTACAATTAGTAGAAAAAATTGAATCGTTTGATAATAAATTGAAATAGTTGAACCTCTTGAAAAGACTTTTTTAAACACATTTTATAAGAATGATTACATTAATGTAATCATTTTGGGTGATGTAGCTAAACAAAACTATAAACAATTTTCAGTAAATTATTCCCAACAGAAGAAGCTTTTTTTGCAATGTAGTTTTATCCGTTTATTTTAAAGCTAAATAGACATCCCTTAAATAGACAGGTCATGGCATTTTTTTATTAAAATATAACTTCTTGGCAAAGCCAATTGATATATTTTTATAAAATGTAACATTAGTTCCACCGAAAACTGCTATAAAATATGTATAGTGATAACTATTTAGTAACAACAGAAAGTTAATACTAACAAAATATTTGCTTAAACTGATAGGCCTATTTGTAACATTTAAATATGCCACTCAGAAATTAAGAAGTTAAAACTCTATGTGCATTGAATATGTTGCATGCAGTTTTATTTTGCATGTCAGATATAAATTATCATTTTAAGGAAGCCAAAACCATGTTTCTAGCTAAAAACAGTAAAGCAAAATCTATTCATTTTCTAAAAAAAAAAAATACCTCTACGTCATCATTGTATCATAATCACATGCGTTTTCTGGACGTCAAAGAGCACATTTCTGGACTACTGAAATGGGTAAAAGATTCATCTACTGGATCACTATGCAATTTAGGCACTTAATAAAATGTCAAATGTCTTATGGATAAAAATATACATATATATTATGAATTTTTAAAACAATATGAGTGCTAATATAGAGTATGAAATTAATTTTTGCAGAGAAAATATTTAAAATGAAATCACATATCAATTTCTATAAAAATAGCGGTGTATTTCCTTTATATGGAAATTCAACCATTTTATATAATTGTCTTACCAGTTCAGGGGCAAGCCTCAATATTATTTTATAAAATTTCTACCAATGTTTTTCACAAGAAGTAAACTATTTTACATCTACAGTACATATTATAAATGGTTTTAAATATTTGTTGTAATTGAACATTGTAATGATACAAACTACTCTTATATCTTTTTCAGGGCTAATAATGGAAAACAAGACACAACACTTCAGTTATATCTGTTCTAAAATCTCTAAAATTAAAATTAACTATATCTACAAACTATAAACTTTCAGTGGAATATTTTCTGGTGGATTAACACCACAAGGCTGACTTATAAAATCACAGCATCTGTTACAATAGACTAAAACTATAACAAGGTTCATAAATTGTAAATATAAAATATTTAAGTAACTGATGTTTAAATTTAGCTATTTGCTATGAAATCTAATAAAAAATGTATGCTTAGAAGTTCTTGTTGTGTAACCATAGATTAGTTAGAACTGTCTAAAAAAGTGGTTGTAAGTTTACAAAATCACAATAGGGGTTTTCTCTGAGCTCTACTTTATTTTAAAAATATATAAACTTATGACTTGTATTTCTTTGTTTTTATCAAAACACTTCACTTAATCTAAAGGTAGTGAATTGAAACAAGTAAAACAAACTTGGGGCGGAAAATACTAAAAATAATGTCTTTTGCAAATAAATACACTTTACCAATCTCAAACACCAAGAACTCCAATGGTAGCCATTCTATACAAAGATATAAACTAACACAAAAACAAATCAATTAACATAAAAAACAATGTTAAATCGTGACACTGACACTACTTAAATGTGCAAAACATACTCAATTGTCATGCCTTAAATGCTAATGTTAAGTCACAATTCTGTATCGAATTTATATAAATAATTATGTATAAAATATTCATTTGTAGGACTCATAACTTTCTGTGGGTGGATATGTTTAACATAATTGTGTATTCTTGCATTTTCTACTAAGTTGTCTTTGATACTTTCTTATAAACTACGACATAACAATTTTTAAAAATTATGAGTGAATGCGGAATTGATTTGGTAAGTTTTTGATGAAATACGGCATGTAAAATTAAAAACTGTCATGATTAAATGCAGAATCATTTGACATCCATGATTAAAGGATCTGATCCAGAGATCTAGAGTGATATTTAAAATCACGTTGAGTTTCAACGCACAGTTGCACTAGCTAGGTTTGCTATCATCACTGGAAGTGTCTTCTAGGCTCAGCTTTGTGAGAACATTGTCAGACTGAGTACGACGCAGAGCCAATGGCGATAAAACCTGAAAATATATATATTCAAATTTCGTTCATCAATACCTATCAAACTGTGTTCGAAATCTTCTGCAACTCATTATGAAATTGATAAGACCAATAAAGGGAAAAACTAATTAGTCTAAATCTAAATATTACTAGTGTTGCATACTTCTGTGCAAGGGGGGTGTGTTAAATTCCTAGCACTAAAATTTTAAGGTTTGGACTACTTTTCCTAAAAGCGCGCAGGGTCGTATTTCCCAAACGGAAAACACTGCGGCTGTTGGGGCCTAAGGTTAGGGGGGCCACACATTGGGCCTCACAGGAAATGTTTTTCACCAATCTTCTGTAAAAGGATTTGATTTGTGAAGTGACCTTTTATTATTGCGATCCCCAAAAGTTTCTAAAAAGATTGCACGATTTTGCCCCTATTGAGCGAGAAAATGATGATACCTCTGTGACCGCAAAAGTTGTTCACAATATCTCCACAGGAAATGTTCATTATTTCATAGCTATTGAGGTAGATAATGATGATGGTGACCCCAGACCACATGACACATGACGGATGTTCATTATTTATCAGTGAATTTATGAGACATTCAAGAAGTTTTCTTGATTGTAGAAATCGTTCAATCCAATTATAAGCCTAGAACAATTAATATATTTTCCAAATCAATGCTTTCCAAAGTGTTTTGATTTTTACCTGACCCGATTTTGGCCCCGAGACCCGAAAGTCAACGGACCCGATGTAAAAAAGTCAGACCCCTAATGTTATTAATAAATTATTTGAATTATTAAATAGCTAGTCTCTTGGCTTCCTAAGTATAATTGACGATCAAATTGTACAAAAGAAAAGGTCGAGTTCATTGAGTGAAAGCAACCACGTTTTATTTCTTGAGCCCTAAGCTCCAGCCACAAAAGAATCAAGGGGCCTCTTTCAAGCGAGTAAGTTGCTGGGGGCCACATAGATTTGAAATAGAACCCTACAAAATGGGTATGCAATATTTCTCCAAAAATAAAGAAAAATAAAAAAATAAAACCTTCTTAACCCTCCGAGTGTCACGTGTTTTGGCCTTAATGTCAGCCTATTTTTTGCTCATTTGCAAGGTTTTATTAAAACTGATCTGAGAAGCTTAAAAACAATGTTAATTATACTGTTCTATATACCATTTTGTTTGGAAAATCTTGGGCTTCAATATAATATATAAAACATAAGGAAGATTTAAAAAAAAAAAATTTTTTTAGGTAAAAAAATGTATAATTTCAAAAATTTTCAAAAAAAAATAAGTTTGCGCTCAATGAAATTGTATAAATTATAGGCCTATAAATATTTGAAAATAGCCACTTTGTTCTAAATTTTATGAGGATTACAAATCTATAATAATATAAGGAAGTAGATTTGCAAATAAAAAAGTTATGGGCAAAAAACAGATTTCAGTACATAGCGTTTAGCTAAGAATGCATAGCCCAACCATAGCTAGGAATCTGGCCGATAATTTACATCAATATCACTACCTACTTCTTCAGGATCATCAACCAGCACTTCAAAACCACTTAAATCTTCTTATAATGCACCACGTATATCACTACTTTTGATTTTTAACACTAAAACAATGATAAACGTAATAAAACACATCAGTCATCGGTCCGAGGGTAACCTAGCTGTTTACAAATACACGCACGTCAGCTCAGTCAGCTGTCTGCTACAATATTTTCGGAACTAAAATGAATAGTGCTTAGAGACAGACCTCTGCAGAAAGCTTAGAATATTACGGACAGAACGATACCTAACTCAATCCAGTACAGTCCGATTCAGTTAGTCATAGAGCCTTCGCCGTAAACAGTGTTCGCGAGTCGCTGCAGCGACGCACGACACTATACAAAGTGCGTTACGCGTCGCTGCAGCGACGCATGACACTCGGAGGGTTAAGTATAAGCAATAATTTTCTAAGGTTATCTAAATTAAAAGATAGGGCATTTGCAGGAATTATTAAGGAAATTGACAGTATAGCAGGCTTACCTTTAAATAAGTCTATAGAGACACAAAATTGAGTCACAAAAGAGCTACTTTTGTGTTGTCTTGTGTTGTATATATTATGTCTCTCTATGGACTTAAAGGTAAGCCTGCTTTCCCGTCAATTTCCTCAATAGTTTTATAAAAATGTTTAACACTAGTAGTAAATAAATGTAAGTTACTCAATGCGTTTCATTGAATTGAAAAATAAATAACAGCAATTAAATTATACAGCTGATCAAAATGTAAACAATTGTGTTCTCCATAAGGATAACATGGGAACTTTCAAAGCCACTTGGGCAGAGCCCAAGGGACTTTTTCAAAAATGTAAGGCCAGTTTGCAAATCTACGCGACACGTTTTTTCCAATGAGACGTCAATGGATAAAATCGGTTAAGAAATGACGGAGGAGTTCAACCGACAAAGTTTCATGTAGCGTATTAATTATATAGATTCCTGGAATTCCAATGCATCTAAACTTACATATTATAAGTCAAACCATTACAAACATAATGTTTGCAATGGTCAACTCAACACTGGTGGCAAAATTAACCAAGAGGAATAAAAAATTACGAAGTATTTTATGTTCTCACTAGTCTTACCGACTTAGTAGGAGGTATGTCGTCCATCGTCTGTACTCTTGGAACTCTCTCCTTCACTTCACCACAGGGTCCATCCTTCACTCTAACCTTCATCTGGCGAAGGATCAAACAAATCTTGTCTGGGTATTCACTGTGACCTGTCGTTAGATAAGTTTAGTATTCAACATCAAACATATCTTAAACACTCACAGTTACCTAGTGCTCTGGCGAAGGATCAAACATATCTTAAACACTCACAGTTACCTAGTGCTCTGGCGAAGGATCAAACATATCTTAAACACTCACAGTTACCTAGTGCTCTGGCGAAGGATCAAACATATCTTAAACACTCACAGTTACCTAGTGCTCTGGCGAAGGATCAAACATATCTTGTCTGGGTATTCACTGTGACCTGTCGTTAGATAAGTTTAGTATTCAACATCAAACATATCTTAAACACTCATAGTTACCTAGTGCTAAAATAATCTGTATTCAACCAAACATGTCTTATTATGTCTGCGGGCCCAGATATTTTCAGTCAGGTCGGGCCAATACTTGGCATTAGGAATCGGACTGAGCCAGGAATAATTTCAGTGCAAGCTAGGGTCGGGTCTAGCCGAGCTTTTATTTTGGCGGTTGCAAATCAATTATCAAGGTGCAAAATAGAAAAACTAACGATTTTTCAAAAGACTGCAAATGATCTTCTTGATTTTCAAGACTGCGAAAGATTTCGCCAAGACCTCGGAAGATGTTCTAGATTCCCCCATGGCAGTAGAAGATAGTCCGAAATTACTTCCATGACATTATTATGTATAAATTTCTTGTAATACTGTAAAACAATGACCATTTCTTTAAATCAATGCTTTGCAAAGCAAAACGATTTCAGCCCGACCTGATTTCATCCCAACCTGACTCAAAATTAAAAAGTCTGACCTGCAGACCTTCATTTAAATATTCACTCATTGTGATGTAGCATTACAAGATATACAGGGTGGGGCAATGAAAGCGCCCCAATTTATAAGCAGTACAAACTCAATAATATTCACCCTATGGATATAAATAGCACATCAAAACACAGCTTATCTTTTGCCATTTTAACTTAACAAAGTCATTTTTCCATTTCTTGAGAACGAAATCGTACAAGTGACGTCCTTGTCCTACTTGACATTAGGCACTTGAAAACTCCATCAAATACTCCTCCAGCATTTCTTCAGGAATCGCTTTAGTTTTTGGACAATTATGAGCTTCGGTTAAAGCAAATCTGTGGGGTGACTTTGAAACACCTCGAACTTCAAGTAGCTTATTAGAAACGCCCCCCCTCCAAAAAAAAGGAGCCAACGTAAAGCTTTCAACAACAACAGCTTCCTGGCAAATCTCTTTGGACTTTGAATTACTGCGACTCGCACTCTTTCAACATTTGCCGGTGTACAAAGAGTTTTGCGGCACCCACCGATTATTTTTAAGGTTTAAGCGTTTATCCTATAATAATTTTACCCAGTTCACCATTGTTTTCCAATCTGGATCAGTGCCATGTTGACCAAGGATGGAATGTGGTCCAAATAATCTCTGGGTTTTTGCACAAGAACCACTATTTTAAAAATAGGTTTGCACATCAAAATCTCAGTGTTAATAGCCTCGGGCATAATATTTACTAAAATGGCATAGTTTAATTGATGTTTTAAGCACAGCTGATCATTCGTTGTTGCAACAATTAACATGTGACAGCTAAAGCTAAAACAAATTGTGGCGTTCTCATTGCCCCACCCTGTATATTGACAATTCCTTAATAGTACCTTTGAAATAGGAAATATTTTTGAATCAAGAAATGGAACAGACTCATTGTGTTTATAAAAAATTTTGTTGTGCAAAATTTACTTCTCGGTGCAGATTTTTTATGGTTGGTAAAAATTCACATCTCATTCACTGTTTTGAGGTTTTTTTAGGTTGTGTGGGTACACTGAACGACCAAAAATAGTTCCAGCATTTTCTAAACATATTTTTGAGACTAGGCCTACTCGTGGACAAAGAAATTAATGAGTGTGAGAAAAAAGAATCTTTTTGACAAGTGACAAAATATATATGAGTAAACCGTTGTGTGTGTTAACTATACATACCAGCTACGATGTCAGTAAGATCTACGTTCACCATTCTTCTATCGTCCAGTTCTATGGGATGTAGTCCTGCCACACCGTGGCTTGGCATAGACAATGTCCTGTAGAGGAACTTCAGCAGCCAGTCATTCCTGGAATGGAAATAATATATAGGTTTCTGTCAGCATGGTAAGGAAACTTCAGTTACAAAGAATTGGAGTTTTGTATACACAATTATTGATTCTAAATAAATTTCATGGCTTTCTCTAAATTAAGGTCTCCATCAACCTCATGTTGTAGCCAAGGGATTCAAATCTCGTTTTATTTACTTCCTACATTATTGCCAGTTGGGTCTTGATCTCACCCTATGTGTCTGCCGTCTGGTCATAACTGAAAAAAAGGTGAGAGAAAATTGAAGTTCTTGCCAAATATGAATCGAACACCAATCAAAACCTGTTGGTTTTAGTTTGGTATTGGTTTGGTTTTAGTTTAGTTTTAGTTTGGTTTTAGTTTTGCTTTTGCTTGGTTTTGTTTTAGCTTGGTTTAGGCTTGGTTCTTAGCTTGGTTTTAGTTTTGCTTTTGCTTGGTTTTAGCTTGGTTTAGGCTTGGTTTAGGCTTGGTTTAAGCTTGGTTTTAGTTTGGTTTTAGTTTGGTTTTCAGCTTGGTTTTAGTTTGGTTTTAGCTTGGTTTTAGTTTGGTTTTAGTTTGGTTTTAGCTTGGTTTAAGCTTGGTCTTAGCTTGGTTTTAGCTTGGTTTTAGTTTGGTATTACCTTGGCTTTAGCTTGGCATTAGTTTGGTTTCAGCTTGGTTTTAGCTTGGTTTAAGCTTGGTTTTAGCTTGGTTTTAGTTAGGTTTTAGTTTGGTTCTAGCTTGGTTTTAGCTTGCCTTTAGCTTGGCTTTAGTAATAATAATAAATAGTAATAATCGAGTATAAACAAATGATTAATTATCAGAACAGTACGGTAATTAAACAAATTATCAATATTCAATTCAATAATGGACGCTCAGTTAGGTAACATGGTGGTTAAATTAGAGTCAAATGGTTTAAAAAAAAGGATTAATCGTAAATGTTCTAAGATGGCGAGATGAGAGCCCTGTTTGTCGTTGACGAAGACGAAGGGCGGGACTAGACACAAATCGGTACTCTGCGCATCCAGTTGGATTGGGTTGAGAACTACCGTAACACTCCAAACTTTTGTACCTTCTGCATTATAAGATGTGATGAGTTCAGCCTAGCTTGAAGTACCGTAATAAATATGATCTAGGGACATCTTGGAAAAAACTCAGCTTAATTTTACACAATTTTCGATCAAGCCAGAACAAAACAAATTTTTATAACAATGCTGGCTGTAGCATGATTCACATACTTGCAATATCCGTTAACAAGTCTTCCTGCTACAACTCTAGTGAACTTCTTCCAGTATTCTGCATTGCCAGAGCAAGGAGCTCCGATTAGAATTGCATCCTGAATTATTCCTTCACAATTGCCCCTCTCAGCCATCTCCTAGAAAATATAAGTAAATTACCCTCTTTGTAACTGTTATTTGTTGAATTAATCTGTACAATAAGAAAGAGAACTGCATCTATGATGAATTACAGTTATTTTGAACTAGATGGTAAGATAAGCACACAAGACCATTTCATTACAAAATAAGTAAAGAGATCTGAGTCCAGTCTTGAACCATCATGGCCTAGTGATTTACTTTAAAAATCGAACTGAACTGGTAATCTTCTGATTAATACCAATAGCGAGCACTATAACCACACAGCATTACTTAATTCCTTGTTCGCCGTCCAGTACAGGTTTTATATGGTTTAAATCTGTCTGTCGTCTTATTAACCCTTTCGATACTAATTTGTAATTTTACGAAAAATGCTAGAGTTATTTACTTATTTTGCCCAAAAAGTGCTAGGCCACGAGGGTGAAGTCTAGTGTGCGAGAAATAAAATCAATAAAAATCAAACTTTTCATCTCAAAATTGCTATGGAACGATATATTGGGCCTCAGTCGTATGAGGAATCGAAAGAAACCATCGCTGTTTCAAAACAACAACCGAGTCAACCAATATTCCCATTTAAACTCACATGATCGAAAGTCGCGCCTGCACGATATATTGTTCCATAGCACTTTTGGGGAAAGAGACCTTCAGCGATGTATCGTTGCATAACACTGAAAGGGTTAACAATACTGGAAACATAATTTTTACTGTTACACAATTTTTGTTAACTGCCTTGACGACAATTATACACTTGAGTACACTCTAATCATTTCCGCTTCTGCTTTTAAATACATTTAAAAATATGTTTTGCAGTTCCTGATGTTTTTGAAACTATCAGTGTTGCGGAGAATATTTATAATAGATGGTTTGGACAAATTTGTACTGGGTGATTGTGGAATGAGGTATAGAAACTCACCGCGAGACAGTAGTAGATGACGCGGGCTCCAATACTGAAGCCTACCAGAGTGACTGGGCGTGAACCCTGCTCTCTGGCCAGTAATACATGAGCCAGTTGTCTGCCCACCTGATAACAATTGCATATTATCATTTACTTTCGTATAAAGTAGATATCCCAACTATAACATGGGAATTGAATGTATCTTACTGCGCTCTTGGATCAAATTCTGCCAATTGCTGATGACTTTTTGCTATTTAATAATGCCGCGGCTCTAGGCTTAGCATGTGAGTGATGTGTAAAACGGTCCAGGGCTAGAGACTAATTTTTCTAAGATGTAAACACATTTTTTTAAATACATGGTTATTATATTTTTGATCTTCTGTAAAGTAGATCAAGATTGTTAATTGGTTTGTTTTTGATACTTTTAGATTAGTAATAAGATTAGTGACAAACCTGCGCTGCACGTCCGCAACAAACGCTCCACGGGTTGTCTATCATGTTTGCCAACCCGAGCAGTGCTCCTGGCCAAGTAATGGCAGACAGCAGGCCTACCACAACACACAATGTTATTAGTCCTACTGAATCTTAGCTTATTTGATCAATAAAATTCATATTGAAAAAACTAAGCCAATATAAAAGTTTTCAGACTTGTCACTAAGACAGCAACACACGCTTGGTTGCATATTTTAAACAAAATATCTATACAGGGTGATTGATATAAGTGTGCCAGCCGTTTTATTCGAAAACTATAAGAGATATCAAAAAAAGTTAAATGGTAAGTGCCTTGGATTTTTTATTTTAAATACAAACAAAAATTATTTTAGCCGCCATTTTTCCAATATGGCCGCCAACTTTGGTTTTTCTTACGGAACACCCTGTATTTTATGATGTATTCTGGTAGAAAAAGTAATTTTAAGACGATTTTATTCTTGTGATTTTTTTCATAAACCTTACCGTTTTAAAGATAATAATGGTTAAAGTTTTGAAATTTCTGCATGAGAAAGAGTTTCGATAAAGGCCTAAGCAACTGTTTTGCTCGAAAACCATTCAAAATTTCACAACTTAAACCATTATTATCTTTGAAACGGTTAGGTTTATGAAAAAAATCACAAGAATAAAATCGTCTTAAAATTACTTTTTCTACCAGAATACATCATAAAATACAGGGTGTTCCATAAGAAAAATCAAAGTTGGCGGCCATATTGGAAAAATGGCGGCTAAAATATTTTTTTTGACTCGACTATAATTTTTTTAATAAAAAATCCAAGGCACTCACCATTTAACTTTTTTTGATATCTCTTATAGTTTTCGAATAAAACGGCTGGCACACTTATATCAATCACCCTGTATACTAATTTGAAACTGTTTTTCTTTGTCACAGATATTTTGTGAGAACGGCTGGGCGTAGAAACTCAGTAGAGGTGTCTAAAGAAAGGTCTTGGTTCGTAGATGAGCCATCAAAAGAGAAACATCATGAATTCCCTTGGGGCTTTGCCCCAGTGGCCTTTGAATTCCCATTTCATGTTAGTCTTAAGGAGGAAAACGGGGTTTTTGTCACAGCTAATTTGAGAGAACGGCTGGGCGTAGAAACTTGGTAGGGGTCTCTAAAGAAAGGTCTTGATCTGTAGATAAGCCATCAAAAGAGGAACGAGGTAAATTCCCTTGGGGCTCTGCCCCAGAAGCCTTTAAAGTTGCCTCTTCAGATTTGTTTACATTAGGACCATATGCATAATTTTACACTACTTTGTAATGAAACAGCTGTTAATATTTAAATTTTGATTTATTGAATTTGTCAAAATGAAGTACAGTATTTGCAATGGGTTTTTCTGATTTTAAAATGGATTTTCTTCTGCATCGTGTCATGTTTAATGTTCATCATGTTTGCAATATAATGTTCTATTACCAAATCATTGGAAAATCCTAATATCACAGTAACTCTTAAAATTATTTCTTTTTGAGTTAACTTATATCTATTGTATGGGTAGGTTTCTGCCTTTTTTACCGCTTCTTTGGAGATTGTACGTAGGTGATATTCGTTGGCATATTGCATCTGTAGACCAAACTTGGGTTGGTGTAATTATTAGAATGGAAAAGGGCGAGAAATCCTGGACAATTTGATATAGGCTAAAAATAAAACTGAATTAACACTGTTCTATATTTCTTGAGCAATCAATGAAATAACCGATTTGCAAACAATGGAAACATAGAAAAAGTCATAGAACAAAACCAAGTAGAAGAAATAGAAATAATGTTTTTTTTTTTCATTTATAATCGTTATCATAGACAACCTAATGCGGCTATGAGAGGGAAAAATTTGTCGAAAACACAAAAAAACAAGATCAGCTTTTTGAAAAAAGATAAGATATTTACAAAAGATTTTGATTATATCTAACTGTTGTGTAGATTGTGAGTATTTCCATAATCTTTTAGTCGCCTGTAATGCTTCGCAATTGCTCGAATTCAAGCAACAGGTACACTTGTGTTATTTAAATAGATTTAATTGGAAATCCGATCAGGCATATGGAAATTCGCTTAGTCTGCAGGTTTGCTGCGGCGGGAGTATATTAATGTTTTGCATAAAAGTTGTTTAAATTGTTTCTCAAATACCAAGTAATAATCGGCTATTTACCACAATGCACCATCTCATACAGTAGTTCTCTTTGGCTTTAGTCGATTTATACAAGACTTTATTATTTAGGTTTAAAGCAGTAACCTTGGTGATAAACCAGAATCGTGGATAAATGAATACCGGATAACCGAGGTTTTAGTGCTATACTACAATTCTGTCGTCTCTTATAGACTGTTATATCTATTACCTATTATCTATAATCTATTATAGACTCTTAAAAACTGTTGTGAGACGGTTAGTTATGGTATGCATGTTGCAGTTTTACATTAAAGATATGTCTTGTTTTCATTTGATTTTTTCTTATTTAAGATTTTATAACTATTAAAGTTCTGTAAGCTTTTGTTATTTTCTACACTCTTTTTGTATCGACTTTTGTAATAAATTATTAGTTATTGCACTTTAAGTTTTTGTTTTATTATAGTTTTATTGTTATTTATTAACCATTGTAAATCTGCGCATCGAATAATTTCCTAAATTAATAAGATCCATACAGATCTATAACATACATGTATCCAATTTTTGTTCAATAAACAAATGGATTAATTGATAATGTTGTCTCGATCTTGTCTCGAATTAAGATGAAAAAATAGAATTTTGTCTCAAACTCAAAAACCAGTCTCGTCCAACCCTATTAAACAGTTATGTATACTTTGGACAAATGTGCCATGTAGCAATCTTAGTGTTTGATTTTTTTATTAGAACAACTTTGGAAATTGAGAGAAGAATTCTGATATCTGATATCGAACCAGAGTTGTCAAACTGTAACAGAAAACATTATCGTATTTTCAGAATTAACCTTTTTACATTTAGAGAAAAAAGGAGTGATTGTGTTTTTGTACAACACTATTTTAATTTAACTGAGGAGAATATCGCAAAACTAAGCTGTACGCAATAGAGTTTTGCTCCTAAAATAAATTAAATATATGTTAGCATAGATAAATGGCATCTGAGTGTGGTAAAGATCTCACTTGGAATCAAACCATAGACTTGCAGATTTAAAGACTAGCAATAATGTTTTTGAACTATTAAATACCAGTTTGAGTAGGAAATTTATTGATCATTAAAAAAGTGACATTATTAAATATTATGATTTATACTAAACCTAGCCAAACTATAACAATAAAATAAGTATCCATAGAGACGGCTCATTTTCATTATTTTGAGAATTGCCAACACAAGCTAATTTCTTTTACTAATAATTATATTCTACTTTTTTGACACGTAAGTAATTACAATGAGTCATATACTTTCTATTGCGGTAGGTGTAGGTGTTGGGTTGGCAGTTAGTTGGCTGTTGGACCAAGTTTTGGGATCTTCTCCTCCTCCTGCTGCTGCTCCTCCTGTGTTAGGTGGGGCAGTAGAGTTTCACGGACACCCTCAAGCAGCCGGGGGGTAAAAGAGCAGGGACAAGTGCCGGGGTATGGCAACGTAAAACAAGAACAAGAACAGAAAGAAAGACCCAGTAAGGGTAAATACCCCCGCCGCAGCAAACCTGCAGACTATTTAACAAGCCACGCCTTAAAGCTACCTGTAAAATTAGCATAAAATTGGTGAGCCGCTAGATGATCAATGGAGTCATTACTTGAAACTGTAGAGGATGGAGAAAAAGCTGAGGAACAAGAGACTGCTGAACAACGATTGAAACAGATCACAAATGGAGGATTGACAAGATAGAGGAGGATTGACATCTTGATCAAGGACTTGAATCAAACCATGAAAAAACATAATTTGTCAAGGTAAATTAAACCAAGAAGACGAACAATGAATTATGCAAGACTTGTAATGACGACAATGCATGGAAAGAAACAAACAAGGAAAATCCAAACCTGCTCAGTCTGTGAACGTGAGACCTACACCAACACTCTAGCTGAAGGGAATCTAAACATGTTTAAAGAAAATATACGTTGATACATTGTTCCTTTAAAATATGTTTTTATTGTGCATAGTATTTGGACTCAAGCAACAGGTTTCTCTGCTAGTTATTTTTATTTTACACCAACAGTGGCGGTTCAAAGGGCTATTGGGGCTAAAGCCCCCCTTCATTGGTCCCTAGAATAATCAAACTAAACTAAAACCTAAAAACGTAACGGAGGTTTTTGGACACGGTTCTAGATGTTAAATAATGGCTTCAGAAAGTCACAATACTGCGTTAAAAATACAAAATTTTCTCTGGGAGGACCCCCGGATCCCCTCTCCTTTCTTATGGGTGAGAGGAGGATCCATACCACAGGTAGCCCTCCCTGACAATGTCCTAAAAACGCCACTGTATGCCAATAAAATTGTTCCATTTTTTAAACCCTCATAATACTAGCAAAAATTTCAACATAGAGTAAAATAGCATAAGTTATTGACAGCCCAATAACAAATGCCATCTGCGCCCAGACTTACCACACAAAAAATCCAACTAACTTGTAACCTTCAGAATATGACTATGTAGCTTTCATATTGATTGAGTGTAAAGGACTAAATTTATTTAAGTCCAAAAATCATGGACAGCAACGTTCAGTTTCAAACCAGTAAAAAGCTACTGGCTTTTCCCAGGATCAAACTGGTGACTTTTTGATTGGTCAGCGAGCACTATAACTCAGTTAGAGGTTGTAACAATCATAAAATCTATATATGTATACAATAAAGTCTCTATTAGGCTATTCACTCTTTAGTTATCTGACCCTACTTGTCAACAATCAAGTAAACAAAATTAAAGAAATGGGGTTTTATTGTAAATTAACATTGAATTAGTTTAAGAATGTATCCCGAGAATGAATGAAAGTTTTAGGGTGTCTCCCCCCCCCTTTTGCAGGCACTGCTAAACTAGATAGATAATAAGACAATCTTGTTATCCAAAGTCAATGCTACAACTTAAACGTCTACCAAGTGTTATTGGCAAAGGTGCTCACCTGACAACGCTGTATACTTAAGCACTTCCTGAGTAGCTATGCTGAATGCCAAACTCAGTATGTACTCTATGGCTCTCCCGAACTGTAGCAGGTATTTACTCTCGTAGCGTAGGTAGTATTGCTCTTGCGAAGCTCTCACACACATCCACGGCTTCACGTAGCTGTCCGCTCTGTCCAACATACAGCATAAAATACAGATGCATCATGAATAGAAACAGTTTACCGTCCTAACAATATTAGTAGGAGAACATATCAAGCGAGGAAAAAGGCGAGCCGAGTGAGACAAGAATGAACTGCACTGATAAATGTTACTTGAGGAAACCAGGACACGACCGATGATTATAAGGGTATCCTCACAACAAACACTCACCCTTCGTCTTTAAGCCAGCCAGATATCACGATGGAGATATGTAGTTGCTGACACCTGGTGATCGTTTCTGGAACTTCCGGAGGCTCATTGTTGTTGTCCATCTGCTCAACGTCCAGCCGATCAAATTCAAACTCTTCAATCTCACCGACTCGTTTATGCATCTTGTACCCTGCAATAAAATTACACTCAAGTATATAAAATAGATTGGAGGTATAGGTCAATTAAGGAACGCGGCAGCGTTCCGCCCCGCCAAGTCCCCCAGCGGTACACAGCTGCTGCAGTGTATATATACATGACGTGACAAAGTGGCTTTTTTACTCGTCTATAGCTCTGAAGAAACAAAAGCTATTAAAATAATTGTTCATCTACTGGATAGGGGCAATCATTCTCAACAAAATTAAAAAAAAGAATTTAAAAAACGGTTGTGTTTGAGCCAAGAAAAACTAGTTTGAAAATTCACAAATTTTCCGTGTTCTCCTTCTTCTCCTTAAATGTTGACGGACCTACAGCCCAAACCACTGGCTCAATTTTAATGTTTTTTATGTTGTTTGAAAGCCCTTAGCGTGTAGATGTGCCTTTTGAGGGTCTCAAGTCGGTGCGTTGACCCATAAACCCTTGGCAAGCCCTCAAAGTACGAGTTTGGCCCATTTAAATAACATGGGATTAAAATCAAAACAAAAGAAGGACCAGCTGCGATTAAATCTTAATTAATTAAATGTTAGAGAAATTCATAGGAACAGCTGAAAAATTATTTTAATACTTTTATAAAGTATTTTTTTCAGGTATACTGAATGATTTGAACTACTTACTATATAAAATTACTTAGAGCAGTGATATTCCCCGATACTTTCCATTGAAAAATGCAGTGTACCGATGGTACACTGGTACAGCAGCTCGTCATTTTTAACAGTTTAATACTACTTATCAAAACATATGAAACCTAGGAACTTGAAACTTAGTACTAGTACGCTAGTACTAAGGTTTGTTCTATGTTTTGATACACTAAAACAAATAAAACGATCGGGAAAATCACTCTACATATGTTAAACAAGCAATTAAAAAGTGATATGTAAATTTAGGATAAATGAGTTATTCAATATTTGTTTTGCCTTATGCTATTTCTAACAAACCTAATTAGTTTGATTACATTTTTACATCTCTAATAAGGGCTCAATTTACACTAGTCTTTAGATATACGGGTTTAATTATTAGAACACCTTTGTAACATCAACACATTTTATGTTGTTCAAGATGAGCATTGATGAAATTTGAAACTGAGTTTAAGCCCAGTGGGTTTGTTAAATAGTAATTTTGGTACGTGTGTCAAAAAGTTTTTAATCTGTTTAAAGCAGATAAGACCAAAAATGTAGAATTTAGTTCTACATTAACAATATTATTGAAATTAAATGAGATGTAGTTGTGCCGTGGTTTATATATCAGAGAAAAGAGGATTTTTATTTTAACTGTTAATTTTCTACAAAAATAAATAAAATCTAACAAAAAACCACTAAGTGGTAACACTTTCCCCGCCAAGTCAGCAATCCAAAAAAGTTAATAAATCATTACTTTTTCCGCCAAGAAAAACAATGTAATGTATGTAAGTTTGGCAACTTGGCGGCAGACTTTTGCTCGATCCCTTTAAAAAATACCATAAAACTAGTTTCATTGAGCAAGTATCCCTCCCATTGGTACATTGCTAGGTGAGAGCTTATTTTACAAAATTTGACCTTATTTGTGCCACATTTCATAAATTATACTTAGTTGGACTAATTAATTAGAGAAGTTGATTTGTGAAATTATCCACGAACGTAACTTAAATGAAAAAAACCAAGCAAAAGTCTGCCGCCAAGTTGCCAAACTTACATACATTACATTGTTTTTCTTGGCGGAAAAAGTAATGATTTATTAACTTTTTTGGATTGCTGACTTGGCGGGGAAAGTGTTACCACTTAGTGGTTTTTTGTTAGATTATATACATCTTAATTTGTTCCAATACAGTTTTATTTAATTACGTTTTTTTATTTAATGTCAACATAGAATTTGTAACTTTTCTTGTTAAAAAAGATACTTTGTCTTTTTAAGAAAAATTACAATCATAATCATCGCAAACAGTGAACGATTGGCTATGTATGAATGAATGATCTGGTAAAATTGTTTTATCTTTGTCATCATTATTTCATTATATGAAGACGAAGACATATTGTGTATTTTAACTGAACGTTAAAGATGGGTGCGAATTGGAGATCATTGTGTGGTTATTTAATACAAAAGATATTGGACAACTAGATTTAGTTTAAAAATCAAAAACAATCAATAAAGTTAGCTACCAAATTTATCTTGGCTAATGAAACTCTGCTACCACTTTTTACTGAGACAAGCTAGTTCTTAAAGTCAGAATAGCTGTTTAGTGAAATACAGTAGACTGAAGATTTTTTATCATGATTTGTAGTTTGAAATGTGTTTATTTTTGCTAAAATCTTTAGTTGTTTAAAAAAAAAACCAGTTGACTCCTGATTAACCACGCTGCTAATTATTGACCATGATCGCAAAAAATAAAAATAAAAAATGTTATTATGCAAATTAAATTTGCGTTTAAAAGCAACAACCAAAATGTTGACTGTGAAGATGTCCATCATCTCGCGGGCAGGCTATAGAGTTGCCGTTGTTTTACGTAACTAATGTGTTGAAAAGTTGTTACATTTTGTGTGTGTCCTTCAATATTATTTGTTTTGTAAATAGTTTATAAAACTAAGTTAAGATTATATAACCTGTATTTAACACATTTTACTATTACCTAAACCTATGTCAAAGCTTAACTATACAAAATACTCGTATATTTAACTATTCAAAATCAATGTTAATTATTTTCCGAGCATTTTAGGCTAGCTTTGCATTATCCACGATTTTGATATTCCACAATCACTCAGACGCTCATCATTGTGGACAATCTTGAGTCTAGTGATTACACACAAATCAATCAACCTATTTTATCGTCATTAACTATTATTCTGTATGAATCCTCAAATTTCTGTGGATACTGGATATTCCGTAGATGGAGCTCATCTCTTTTGAACCGGTGTCTGAGACACTAACCAATATCGACATCAACAAAACTTACTGACATATCAGGTTTATAATAAAAATTAAACATCTATAACCTGTGAGCCCCGCGCCAGCTGCACCGAACAAACTTCCCACAACTGCGACACCAGCGGCAGTACTCAGCATGGCAGCACCGCCCCCCACCACACCACCCAGGCCGAGAGAGGCGATGCCTGCGCCGATGAAGGGAGCCGCCAGTCCCCCAGTCAGACCAATCAGAGCCCCGCCACCTAGACCTGCCAGCCCCACTAGAGCGTAGCGGCGAAACTTGTTAGAAGTCTTACCTCGGCTGGTGTCTGCTCTGTCGATAGAAACGTTAGTGTAAATAAAAATTTACAGAATTCTCTTAAGTAATGTCAATATTTCCCTTTCAATCCAATTTGTTCAATTCAATCCAGATTTATAGTCGAACGATGCAAAGGAAATATTCTGGAATTATTTTAATTATGCCTATGAATAAAATTCTCTCATTTTATAAGCCACAAAATCTATTTTTATTTTTAGAACTAAGGGCTAATTTACCTTAGAAATAGTCCAGTTAGACTATAGTACCATCAAAAAACGCACACTATTTTGTCCTTTCAAAGACTTTGTCAAGTGTCACTTGCCAAAGTCACCCAGGAGAAATATTGTGCGTTTTTGTGTGAAATATGGCCTACCTTGACTTTTACTAGATAAGTTAGCTGCTTCTATCCCTTTAAAAAAAGACTTAATCCTGGTCTGGAGTGTTTTCTTAAGCTTAACAAAATATTAGTTTAGTAGTTCTAGGCTTGAACCTTAGGTTGCAGCACAAGTCAGGTACAGTGTTAATGTTTCAGTATCTTTTAGTTATTTATTTTTGCCTGGATACAAGCATAGATTAAAAATACTCCCTCAGTAGATTTGTCATCCTTATGGATCAGCTGAAGACAATTTTATGTTAGTTACGTTCGGTGCTGCTAAGAGTGTAATTGTTTACAATTTAATTTTAAATTTTTTCAGTTATTTCAATACTAGTTTAACCAAATAATCCGATTAAATTCCAAACAATAGTATGTCCTCTTATTTTATAACCAAAAGTAAAGAACAATTCATTAAATCAATCCTAAAATAATAAAAACAAAGTTTTGTTGTCACTAGCGCTTGGTGTGAGCAAAATGAACTATACATAAATTCAAGCTCCAGATTTAACAATAGCATGAGTCTCCTTTAGCTTGTCTATGCACAGAGAAGTAAGGAACAGATTATGCAAGTGGTACACATGGTACACTTAAGTGGTGTCTAGCACTAGTGGTGTCTAGGGCAAAGTCCAACACCGCCTCCTTGCCATCATGTACTACAACGCTCACGGTGAAGGAAGACGGTGAGCCCTGTGCAAAAAAGGAAGACCCTCCTCCTTACTCGTCACAAGTACATACCAGAGCTGAAAGCGCACGGTTGTCCCATAAGCTTGTTTCCTCTATACTTTACTTCTCTGTGGTCTATGATAATAATGAGTAGAGGTTTGGTTATATCTGTGAGTATATTGCCGTATATAATAAATTCTAGGCAGTTCAGTTCATTCAATGATCTCATAATTGGTTTATAGTATAAACTCCGATAAAATCATACTCTGCGTGTCCCGGTGTTCTAGTCAGGCAAGTGATGACGGACATCTCATACTGCTCTATGGTGTCTGAGGGAATTCCAAGGTTATCTGCTAGATGTTGCACTAGCACTCGCCATCTTGCGTCGTAAGTCCCTGTACCACAAACAACATATATTGTTATGAGAATAAAAAATGTTAAATAATTTCTAACAAGTGAACCTAATTGCATGTCTTTATCTCTCTCATTGACTGAATAACTTAGAAATCATAAAACCTCAATAAGAAGACGCTAAATGTCAAGTCATCCTTGAGGACAAGTGTCATTTCAAATCATTGATTTTGCATTAATCACATGCAGTTTTTAATAAAAGTCTACCTTGATAACAAGTCTTGATAATCCCCAAGAGACTTGCTATTGAGGTTCTACTGTGATAGAATTTAGAGTTAAATGTTAGTAACAGTGCAGTGATTAATTTTTTGTCATACTGCAGCAAAAACAGCCGTTTTTAATGCATGCGTTGTGGGTCTAAATTAGCATTTTTAACCCTCTAGGAAGTAAAAATCGTTTTTAGCCCCTATGGAGTAAAAATCGTTTTTAGCCCCTATGGAGTAAAAATCGTTTTTAGCCCCTAGGGAGTAAAAATCAGCTGTTGTCAACTCTGGTGTAAATTCTGATAGTAAAAAATTGCATGTATAAAAAGTATGTACCGTATCGATAGTTTAATCGATTGAAGCTAACTGTTGCCTTATTGTAAATAGTTTGACATATCAATACTATGTACACTAACACAATCGTAATAGATGAAACGATTTAATCGCTTACTAAACAGCTGCTTGTTTCCATTATCAATTTAAATTCAGTACAAATAATGATGAAAAATATAGTTCATCACACGGGGTAAAAAAATTATTTTCAACACTTGCTCATTTTTTGACTTTGCCTCGATCGTAAAACTCGTAAAGAGTCACTTTAGGTCCTAGTGATAAAATATACTATTTCTTTATATTGCAGCAAAAACAGCCATCTTTCATACATAAATTGAGGTCTAAAGTAGCACTTTCACTCCCTAGGGAGTAAAATGCCTTTTTAGTCCCTAGGGAGTAAAAATCAGCTGTTGTAAACTTAGATTGTAAGCAATTGCAGTATGTATTGAAATAGCGTAACATCGATTGATTTATTATTGCATTTTTGTGAATAGTGTGACATATCGATAGTATAACCTAATGTACACTAACACAATCGTAATAGACAAAATGCTTGAATTACACAGCTGCTTGTTCCCATTGGCAAAATTGGAAACTTGGAAAATTGGAAGTCTGAAGTCGTTTTGAGAGGTTATATTTATGAAAAGTATTTTCATTGTCTAGCTTAGTTTTCCAATAAGAAAAATATAATTCCACACACAGACAAAAAAAGCCTTTTCAACCCACACTTATTTTCCCACCTCGGCCTCGCCTCTATCATGAAACTTGAGCTCGGGTCGAAAAGAGTCACTTTACGCCCTAGTGATGAATATACTATTTCTTATTAATTGTCTTCAAAATAACAAATAACTTAAAAATACAAAATATTCAACGTAAAAGTAATTAAATCAGTTTAAATATTCAACAAGGAAGTCTCACACTTTCTCATTAATAATTTATGTAAAAATGGTAACTTTTTATAGTACAAATTATGTACGGAGTGACATGCTGGAGTGAGATTTTTTTCATAAGTATATGGTCTTATATGTTTGTTTATACATCCTTCAATTTATTATTTTTGATATTCCTTAACAAAATTTACCCGTTTATAAATCTCTGATGTATTGATAGTAGTTTTTCCTAGTGAGACTATTTTTGTGACGGCACATTTTGAATCATAGCAAAAAAAATTGAAATGAAAATCAATTCCAACATGAAAGTTAAAATCTTTAAGGCAAAAGTAATTAGCCTATTTTTCAGTAAACACAATAAGGCATTGAAAGTTGAAAGTGTCACAAGTTATAAGTAAGAAATGAACTTAACCATAATGTCAAACAAATTGTAAGAAAGCATCCAAGACATGCAATTTGTATTTTAATGGTGCATGCATCTTACGATAGATCATATCATCATAGCCACATGCTTAGAGAGAACTTATTGTACACTAAGTGAATAGAAAAAGAACAATTTCCCAATGCAGCAAACCTAAAGACGAATCATACTTCCAATAGCTGGATCGGATTTTCGCTGAAATATTTCCTTAGTACATGTTATTTTTTCCCTATCAAAATAACATTAAGTTTAGTGAGTACTTTGATTAACAATACTTTAGTGAGGTTCGCTGTGTGTTTTATAAAAAAAAAAATTGAATTTCTATGAATGAAATGATTAAATTTACCAAATTTGATCAAAATACAGTTTTTTTTAACTCTCCATAAGATTGACATGGGAATTTTAAATGTAAGTTTTTTGCAATTTCCTCTTTAATCTTTAATCCTACAACACTTCAATATAGAAAATAATTTGGTTTTTTAGCTCTTTTACACGATTTCTGTAGTAAAAATTGGGCATTATTTTGTTTTAAGGGTAAAAATTTGAAAAAAAACCCATTTTTGAAAAACTTACAGCTGTTTTAAACATCAGCAGCATAAAATGTAATTTTCTTCGTTTCATCCGTAATTACCGTAATGTACACATCAACAACAAAGTAAATATGTAAACAGTTAGAACAACTACAAAAAGTGCTATTAAAATAAACCGTTTTGAAAAATATTGTCAATGTACAACCGAACTGACTGGTCTGGTCAGAGTCACCCTGTTACTTCGATCTGAATGGTCCGGCGCAGAACGGAATTACGCTTCTAGGGGAACAATCAATAGTGTCTGACTGGGTAGCGCAAATAATGCGTTGTACGATGGGTAGAAAGTGCGTCGCTAGGAAACACGGCTTAAGTTAGTACCAATCGTCACCCTGAGAGGCAATTTTTATATGAAAAGAATTTACATTTTTGTTGAAAGTAGGCTTTTAATAAAGACAAAAAATTTAACCTTTGAAACATGCATACTAAATAAACACACCACCAGTTATAGAAATCTCAACTCACCACACCTAAGTCCTAGAGGCAGCAACATCAACACATGTTTGAAAAGAATCACAAATTAGCCCTTGCAAAGACAATTCTAATAAAATCTCGGTTCTGCGAAAAATCACTGATCAACAACCGTTATACAAACGTTAAACATTATTATTTTGAAATACAGTAGTCTCTGTATTATTAACGCGAGAGGGATTAATCAAGCTGTCGATTAAAACCACGATCGCAAAAAATACAAATATAAAAATAGATTATGCAAGTTAAATAAACCCAAGCAACAAACAAAATATTAAGTGTGTGTAGGAGCATAATCTAGCAAGCAGACTATAGAGTCGCCGAATACAAGCTTTATAGCAATAAAGCTTAACTTAAAGTCAATGTTTCCCATTTATTTTAGGTTAGGTTGACATTATCTACGAATATGATGATCCAGGATCACACTACCACTCTTTATTGTCGATAGTTTCGGTCTACGGTATATCATGATCAGGAAGAGAAACCTTGGCAAGGTATACTGTATAACAAACTTAGTCGCAAGATCATAATTTAATTTTTATTTTTACATTAGTTTAGGTTTATTAACACCATAACCTTACCTTCTTTGACAGCAAGCAAGATGAAATCGTAGAGTATTGCTGAGCAGTTCGATGCTACTGCTTTCTCTTTTTTCAGAACCTCCAAACAAGGATCCCACGACTGTGTATATTCTCCGGACAGCAGCGATGACATCACAGGTTTTACCTTGAGAAAACAAATCCCCTCGTTTAAAGATTTACTTTACAGATCACCTCAAGCCAATTTTAAAACAGAGCAATCCAAACTAATTTGAAATCATGTTTAAATTAGCTTGGAATGCATTAAAATTGCACCAAAAAATGCAACAATATATTTATGGTATGAAAATTGCTACATATAGCTCTCGCCATAAACATAAAAATGAATTTAAAACAGGCTCCTTTTATTATGATTGTAACATGATTAAGTAGGTTAAGTAGGTCTTTATGGTGTGAATCAACAATTAACAAAACATGTATTAAATTAGTTAATTTAATCGCCTAATACCAGTCTGAAACAAACACAATATTTGAAAGGTAAAAAGGTAGGCTATTGTCTTGCAAACAACTTTTGAACCCTATTGAAATGCGCAATTTTTGCACGGGTCCCCTTCTTGAAGCATAAAGTAAGCATAACCTATTTTATTGTTTGAAGTAAGTTTCATCCGTTTGCCTGTTTTGAGGTACTGTAATCGATTGACACAGTTGATATCAGTAGAGATTATTACATTTACTGTTCACACCAAGCATTAGAATCTTCACATTACAAGTACTTACAGTAATTATGATTTATGACGTCAAACACTCAATAGAGATTATTGGAAGTGTTGCCAAACTAAGTGGATGACTCTATATAAGATAAGCAAATAAGAGAAAAGTTCTTTGTTGAGCGGTAAATAGTCAATTTTTAGCAGACTAGCTGCTTTAAATAATGGGGTTACAAGATAAAGTTGCTTAATAGTGCAAAAATACTAAAGGGATTTCTAAATTTTAAATCTGTTCCATCCCCTCGCTCATCCCCATCGCCCATGTTCTATGATAGTTTTATGAAGGGATGCAGTATTAGTTAAATACTAACAGTGTCAATGAACTGCATTGTTAACTTTTGTTGTCCCGAGCAGCAACATAATTTTTATAAACCTGTTTTTAATCATTCTGTTTACCTAGACAATATCTAGTGTTAAAAGACATTTGTGGCACGTTCTGAAAATATCAGACTTCTTCTGCTTATCATGATCCTAAGAGGCTTAGCTCTTTTGCACAGCTAAAATATGGCCAAAATTATATTTAGGAGCCTAGACACCAGCTGTCCTTGATCATTGGGCTGTAAATGAGAACCCGATTGATGAAACAGCTGATCTTAGCCAGTAACAAGCTAACACAGCTCATTTCACACCATTATACACTCATCCTTCTCTCATATTTGGGTAAAAATATGTACACCTATGTGGCGTACCCATCTCAAATAATTGATAATGATTGCCTAGGTACTATATTCACTCTTCCAGGGTTTGCTGGCTGACAGAGTAAAACAGCTTGATTTTGATTTGCATAGTTGCAAAGTTCCAAAATGTTTTCTTAAGCTATATATAGCCTGGATGCAATGGTTAACACTTACAGAATTAGGTAGCTCTAAGTGAATTATCAGCTTGTCCAAACAGTTTTCTGTAAAAGACCGATCCCACTCGTTGTTGTATAAATCGTGCAAAGCGATGGCGCACATCGTGCAATATGAGTATTTGCCTGCATCAGACAAATGAGCCGGCAGCAGCGCATATTTCTCTGAAATTGAATTAAGGTAGCCCATATAATTTAATTACACATAATTGGCCTTTAATTGGTCTTTAGAAATGGTTTGGTGAAGAAACCTAATTTTAAGCATACTATGCATAGAAGATATTCAGAGATAATTAGGTACCTATAAGTTAGGTCTAATTTGTAATTTTACATATCTTATATTAACTTGAAGTACGGCATAATTATTGAGCCTACTCAATTTAATTTCAAGGTTTGGCTTAAAATAATTATAGCCCTACCTATAGGCTAATAATCTAATTCAGACCAGTATTTAAGTTTCTTTTGATAAAGAATATATAGGCCTAGAGCCTTGTGTTTAGATACCCTACAAGTTAAAGTGTTGAACAAATTAAGTTGGATAAGACTGTTATCTATCTATATATTAATAGGCAAGCATGTTTCTTTAAAACCTTTTTTCTCAGCTCGTGTGCATCGCAGGGAAAATCTACGCATACCTTTAGAAAGATATTTTAAAAATCAAAATAGGCCTATAAGCCCAAAACTGGATTTGAAATTACAAAAAATAACATGGGCTTTATGGGTTGCCATGTTGGCGACGAAATAACAACAAAATATAAACAGAAGATCAAAGCAAATGGAAGAAATTACAATCACATGTTTTATTTACAGCGTGGGGTGAAAATAGAGAAGTTGGTATTTTTGGTAGAGTTTCGAACACTGGACGACCTCTAGTACAGATAAAAAGCCTACACTGTTTTTCTTTTTTTACTAACATAACTTACTAAGTGCACTATTACTAAGCCCACTTTACTGGTTCAATTCGTTTCATCAATTCGAAGTGACCAAGTCACACTGACAAGTTGAGTAGACCAAGTAAAAACCTTTGCAAAAGTTTGATGACTTCAAGACAGAAATGTTAAGTACGGTACGTTAGCCTACTGTATATATAAAAGTGTTAAGTGCCTTGTGCATTCTCAGTCAAATACAGTATTCAGGGGAAAATAAGTTTCGGTTTTTATGACCTATTGCCAAATCCGAGATCAAATCAACAGAATTTGACGACAGATTGTATGACCAAAACTAGTTCCTCTGAATAACTTACTTTATGACAAGCCAAATTTATCAAGTTGTAGCGAGTAAGCTTTAGGCCACCTGTAACTAGGTAGGCCTAAAGTTTAGCTGATTACCGGTATGTTGTTTAAAAACTATACTGTGTCCAAGTGATAGGCATGCTCACGGTTTGAATGTAACGTGTTTAAAACTTCGGGGCCCAAGTTGCACCCCTCTTCATCTTCCTTGTGGGGGATTTTTTCTCTACCCATTAAACCTAAAACCTCTTGCGTCCCAGGGCCCATTTACTAAAGCGTCCCTGGCAATAGGCAGATCAACGCACATAGGCCTAGGCCTATGTTTAGGTTATGGAACTGTTTCACACCTACATTTAAAGTCATTTGTCTTTAAATCTGTTAAGAAAGGTAAGTTAGTAGGCTTAATATAGGCCATAACTTAGGTGCATAATTAGCAAAATGTTGTTTTGGCCAGCTTAAAGATAAAGTAAGCTTAAGTTAAATTGTTCTAATAACTTACCTGACATGTTGTTTTCTAATGCCATTGCGTTCAAAAATAGGCTGCACTGTATGATTTAACTTTGTGTCACCATTAGACTTCCTAATTTGTGCACTGGTAAGACTTTAAGTTTAAAAGTGACTCTACTAATCATTTATGTAATTAATATTATTTAGCATCTGATAGTAATAAGCCACAAACTAGATTAGAATTGACTGGAGTATGTTACATAAAACAAGTAGATTTTTCTTGAATTATACCAGGTTAAAAACAAAAATGAATGCTTTGTGACGTTTAAAACCTGCTTTATAAAAGAGTCGACTTATCAACCAATACAGTAGGAAACTAATCAAAATTAAAACACCACAACTAAACGCATGACAATACAACCAAACAAAAACTAACCTAATAATACGTATGTTAAAAGGTCAATCTAAAAGTCGTAATAAATTAAAGGCTGTCGCTGTCAGATAATTTGACAATGACAAGTTAACAAAACAATGATTTTTAGAGGCTAGAGTATTATTACGTAAACAAAAAACACAATGTTACAGCAACAGCTGTGTTTCTTAAGCAGACGACAGATGGAGTGAACTTGAACCAAACCAGGTGACAGTAAAAAAGGATCATTGATAGACAAAACTGAAAGGAGTGTAACAAAGCATTGAGTATAGGACCTAGGTATTCTGTATTTAATAAAAGCAGTATAATAAAAAGCACTGTTTCATGACATATAGTAAAACATAGTTTCAACAAATCTTTGCATCTATTGTACTTAGTTTTGGCTTCAAATAAAACCCGTATTTCCCGCACCGAAGTTTGAGACGCTAACCACTAGACGAGTATAGCAACACAGCAAATGATAGTCTATCACTCCATCTTAGTTTCACGGAGTATGTTTAATCATAGATCAAACATGTATGTTTTATCTATGGTTTCACGTTGGAGATATGGAATTGCAGTGTTGGATTCCACATCTACCCAAAACCCAGCATGAATATTAATCCTACTATCCTACAAAAAAGACCCTATAGTAACAATAGTACACTAGGCCCTAAGATTTTACCCGCAAAAACATTGCAAACCACACTCATCCGCCCAACCTCATCCTTACCATCAGAATCTCTTTACATCCTATACACCGTTATTTGCTCTACAAGACACAAAAGATCCACCCCAACATAGACTCTTGAAATTCTGCAATATACCGTACAATTTGCTACCCCAATAATTAAAACGTTTACACAATAGTACATTTGTCCAACACCTAAAAAAAATACCTGCGTATATCCCGCAGCTAGGAAAACCCGCCTTTAACCAACCCGTCTTCTGGTATCTTGTGACACCTTGGGTGATGTATAATCAATGTCATTGTCTATACCCGTATAGATGGGATGTCCAATTTGTATCCAAAAGTGCATTTAATACCGCAACATCTTTATAGCTCAATAACAATACAGTTATTATTTCTCACCACCAAATCCCCTTAAACGTTCTAAAAAGCTCTTAATATTTTAAGTTTTTTATTTTTAATATACATTTTCTCTTCCAGTGCTGTTGGTAACCTTTCTAGTAGTCTGCCTGCCTCTGTTGCAGACAGGTGCAGTCTGTCTGATCTGTAGTCAAGCAAGCTAAGCAGACGAAATGTAAACACATCACTATCACTATTCACTAAATCACATCGGCAGTATGCAAATTGGAGATAAATTTGATGGTGAAATACATAATTTCAGTAAAATCAATGTTGTTAATTTATAACTATTGTAAATAATACGATCCAACTAATCGTCTAAGTCTCACCACTATGCGCTTGTCTCAAGAGTTACCATAATCAAAATGAGTATAATATTATTGATGGGCCTAGGCCTACACTAATAATTGTCAATAATTCACTTTCGTCAATGGATAAGATTTGTTATGATACAAATTATGTCTCAAATAAGTAAGTTTGTAGCTCAGTTATTTTTTGTGTTCTTGTTTTTACCTATCCTATCTTTAGGTAACTTATCCTAAGTGTTGGAGAAGCAGAAGGTAAGTTAGGGTGTAAAAGCATAAAGAAGAATCAAGATTTTATGAAGTTTTTTCCTTCCATTATCATGTATAGGCCAATACATTGGACTCCCTCTTATCCGGATACCTTTTAACTTTTAACATCGATTCAACCGGACTAAACTTAATCCTAGGCCTACACTCTGCCGAAGTGACATCTTTTTAACCGGACAAATGTTATCAGCACATCTAACTTTCCCTATTTAACCGGACATTTTCTATTTCTACAGGAAATGGGTGGGGTGGTACTGAAACAAACTTTTCTTATGGGAAAGATTTCAAAGAAGTGATTTTAAAAAATACAATGCTCCTCACAAATTTAAGTAAAATATTTGGGATGTTTTCTGAGTGATTGATAAAGTATGTACCTATATTATTATTTTAACGAGTATTAGGGGACTTCGGTTTAAGTTAGGACTGTCAAAACTTTTTTTGTAGTTTTTTCTACGCCAGTGTCATTTTTTACTAGAAGTCAACGTTGTTGTACTAGGGTCAAACGTTTTTAAGGGAAATCGGCCCAACCCCAAATTAAAGCTTTGTGGATATGCCGGAAAATTGAACCTGCCCCTCCCATACCGAAGTCCATAGCGCTAACCACTAGGCTAGCAACACAACCAAATGTAAGGCCTATCCGGACTGGCCATGTCCCAAAGGAGTCCGGATAATAGGAAGTCTAAGCTTACTGTAGTTACAAGTACCGTAACTTAGGCCCACTGAAAATTATTGGAAGAGCCTACTTAGAAAAAGTTCAGAAAACGTTAAGTTGGTGTACACCAATGACTTTGATTTGATCTTGTGTTGTAGCATCTAAAATTTAAGTTACCGTAAGTAGTTCTGTGTAACCTTGTAATTTACCTACAATAAGTAAATATGTTTAAATTTGTTTTTTAGGAATTACATTGAAAGCGAAATTCCGGATCAAAATGTAGGCCTAACAGTAGATAATACCTTTCCGGTAAGTTAACATTGTGGTTTGACTTCAATAACTTAATTGAATGGCTTTTTATTCAATTTTCTTCATTTTATGGGCAAGATTAGACCACTTTAAGTCATTTATAGGAAAAGTTTTTCTTTTGTCTTGTCTATGTTTAATGTCCCAGTATCTACTATCAGTTATCAATAATTATTGAGATGAGTACGACATCTACGTGCGTATTTTAACCCAAATGGATGAAGGATGAGTGTTAGAATGGTGTGAGAAGATCTATGTAGCTTTCTTACTGACTAAGATAAGCTGTTTCATTAGCTAGGATCATTTATTGAAAGCCCACTTATCAGGGACGGCTGGGTCCAGTTTTTGAACCATCAAAAACCTAATGACTTTTCTCAAGATTGAGCCGGCAACCTTTTGATTGTTAGGCGAGCACTACAACCACTCAGCTATCCAGCTAGTTTAGGCTACTTTTTCATATGGTCGGTTGAATGGCTTTTTATAAGGAATTCTAAACTTAAAAACGACACAAAAACCCAAATTCACACCTTAAAAATGGAACTAAGATGGTCTGCAGATTTGAAAATGGTGTTAAGGAGTGTAAGATCAAAATGATTGATACAGTCCTAAGAAAAGTTGGTAGCTTATTGATTGTTGTGGTTCGAAACTATCTTCGTGTTTTTTTTTTTTTATGATTGATGGTTCATGGCTATTTTACAAAAGCTAAGATAATTATATCAGGGTTGTATATTTGATTCCAACAAACAAAATTAGTACCTAGTAGGCCTAGAGTCAAGGACTTTAAACTGTATCAACTTAAGTGGTCAGAGAAAAAAATATGTTTGATTAAGCCTACTTTACATTTTGATTTCAACAAAACGTTCGCTAAATTCATATTTTATTTTTCCTTTGAAGAACTTTTTTTACATAGGCCTAAGTTATACCCATTTGTCTTTTAGGATTGCACAAGCAACTGCAGTTCTTCTTCTAAAGAGGTCCTTTCAATCAAAACAGAACCCATTGATGATTATGAAGAATGTGCCGAAGAAGACAGTGATTTTCCTCTTGACGTTCAGGTAAATGCTAATTTCAAACCGTATGATCAAGGACAGCTGGGTTCAGGCTCAAACCATTAAAGAGCCTATGGCTTTTCCCAGGATCTAAATAACAACCATATGATTATCAGGCAAGCACTAAGCTACCTAGATACGATGCTGAGTATTAGTAGTTAGTATTAGTAGCAGGTGCCGAGATTTAAACCTATTCAATGTGGTTAGTACCTATTTATGCCAATATTTTTATCTATCCGAAAGTGATGTACACCGAAATCCCGTTCCACCTCAAATCGAGCACTGGTTGTAGTACAAATTATTTCCTAGATTGGCATCAAATGAAATAGTTTAATTATAGGTTGATTCTGATATATATACCGTAATCAAATTTTATTAAATGGTATTCTTTGTAAAATGCTGTTTTTGTGCGGAATGTTAAACATAATGGGAATTTTTATTTACCATTGTGGGGAATGTGATACTCGAATGGTAAGTAGCCCATTGTTGATTTGATAAACTAAATCTATAACACTTACATAGAGTGTAGTTTTAGTAGTTTTTAAAACAATTAGCTAAGTTGGTTTCTTTGTGTTAATTCAGTTAGTTACCATGTGTATTTTGTTACCAGATATCTGAACCAGAAGAAAACAGTGGTGAGAATGAAAAAAGTGACATAGAATGTGAAGAATTGTCAGGACTACCGGTTAAAACTGAACTTATTGAATGTAAAGAAGAATGCCAAGCTCTTGATGACGAGAACAACACTAATCCATTCATTAAGGTAAGTTGAAACTGGTTCAAATCAAATCAAAAGATCTTTATTCACATCATGTAGCCTAAATACATGTTTGTTGAATAGTGTTAAACAAGTTAACTTACAAGAATATTTAGAATGTATAAGAATAGTACACTATTTATTTAGTCAACTATCACTATGATTGGTAGTCATACCTTATCATGAGTTTTGCTAATAAGATAGTATTAGGTACTCCTACTACTTTAGGTCATGCTATTTTCTAAATTTTAAGATCTACTATTTGTTTAAAGTTAAAAAGTCTTCAAATCAATGAATTGCCTTCTGTATCATGGTTGTTTTGCCATCTTGTAATTTCTCTAGTTTTTCAACATATTTATGGATATTAGGCTAATAAGAATGTTTTTTTTTGTTTCCGTTTTCTACGCATTTTTTTCAATAATGGTATGTAGGACTAATAAAATTTGTAATGTTCAGTTTTTTAATCAAAATTAAAATGTTTAACAAACTAGAGTAGGGTTGTGCAAAAAATGGTCTGATAATATTTTAACATATGTATTAAATTTTTTATTAAACTGCATTGATAAACTCTTACAAAAACATCGATTGATTGAGTCAGGGCGGACCTTGTCCTGATGCTCTTCAGCCGCAGATGGGCTGAGAACAATCATTTGTATGCAGGGAAATTTGATAAGGTACTAGTTAAAATGCTGGCTGATCATTACTAAATAATTAAATTAAATTAAATTATTTAATAACCACAATGTGTAATTTTATAAGTGTGTTTGAATTTTTTAGGCGGAACCTCTTGAAGAGGGGTATGAAGATCGCGTAAATGATTTCATTCAAATTGTTACCAAAGAAAAACTTCCAGTTCAAATTTTTACCAGTGATGATACAGTCACAAATTGTTCTGAAGAAAATGAAGCTGAAAGTGGTCATTTTCTGTCTCAGGTATGTTGTACTACTCATCATAAGTTAAAAATTGTATTATAACAATATTTTTTAATCAACAACAAATGTATGACTGTTAAATAGTCCCTCCCGTTCCTTAACACATGTGCTAGCGATCATCACATATTTGCGACGCTGAGGTCATTGGCACGGCCCGAAGTATAGCCTACTTTTTAATATTTTAAATAGACCGGTTGCCACTTGGTTAACAGTACATGTGGAACACAGGCCAGTGATGCAGCAAAGTAAAAATCAGTTTTGCCAACTATCATATGACGTCACTAATCATATCCACAGACCAAATGACGCACATATGCAACAGACATCTCTGTGGACCAATGCAGAGAATTCTGGGCCTTCAAATAGACCATTACGAAGATAGCTTTTTAATAACATTGAAAACCGATGCAAATATGCGACGTCACATCAATCTATTTTAATGTGACCCGCTGTCGCATATACATGACAGCAGTCTATGGGCAGGAACTGGCCGTCGTATATGTGCGTCGCTGGTCCATATGAATGAAAAATTTAGTACTTTTGCCGTAACGAACGAGTTGAAATATTAGACTAAATATAAAAAGAGAGTTACTATCCCTGGGGATTTATTAAGTCAAATTTAAAGCAAATTTTTTTTCCTTTATATTGCAGAAAAAACAGCCGTTTTAATGCATGCGTTGCAGGTCTAAAGCAGCATTTTTACTCCCTGTTGTAAACAGTTGTAAATTTCGATTGTGGCAATCGTATCGATCAAAATTATTTATCAATTGATTTATTAAATTAGGTGTTAGCCTATTGTTGTCGATCGCTCAAGATATCGATGGCATAATGTACTGTAACACAATAATAATAGACAAAATGATTGAATCATTTACTAAACAGCTGCTTATTTGCATTAGCAGAATTGAAAACAAACTGGAAGTCATTTTCAGAGGTTATGTTTACATAAAAATTAAGTTTTGATTTAACATAGTATGTTATGGTCCTTACAATTTTGATAGTTTTTTTCATTTTTTAGAAATTTTGATTTTTATGGGGATTTTTCCATAAAACCCCATAAAATAACTTAACGGAAAAATCGGATTTTCCCAAAAATGGCCCGAACGATTTTGATAAAAATTTAGTATATTATAGTCCATTAAATTCTGAACAAAATTCTACAAATCCCATATCTGTATATTTACTCTCACCGCTTACACATGATAAAGGTTGTTGACAAACTTATGGGAGAAAGTATGTGTCAGAATGCTGATACCGTTTATTTTATTAATGATGCGATATGACAAAAATTATAGTTTACCACACGGGCAAAAAGTGTGTTTTTAACCCTCGCTCATTTAACAACCACGGCGTTGATTGAAAAGAGTCACTTTGGGCCCTAGTGTGAAATTTACTATTTTTTAGTTGACATGCAAATGTTTTAGGATTCATTTATTTCCATGGTTGGGTTTGGAAAAAAAATGAAGACTATACAAATCCATTTTTAAAGAACCTTTCATGTAGATAGTAATGTCTATGTCAATATTATATTTCCTATTTTCATAGATATTTGGTTAGCCACTCCTAGGATAACTTTTTCAATGTTTCAAGTAAATCATGTGGATTAAGTGGGTTCCACCTGCCGCTGTTTACCACGTAAACATGGTCCTACAAAAAAGAACCTCGTGGCATAATGAAAGTGTTTATCGAGATGAAATAAACTGTAAAAAGATCCAAACTATGCACTGGATGAACTGAAACCTCGTAATTGTTTCTTAAAGGGTTTGCAAAATCATTTTGAAAATCTGTAAATTAATCTGTTTTACATGTGATTTTAACTTCTAAATAATAGTTAAAAACTAATTTTTCCCCATCCATTTGCAAGCTCTGATATGTTAAGAACACCAAAAACACACAATCGTTGGAAACAAATTAGTTCTAGAATGTTGAGAGCTTGTACAATAGAGGCATGATCAATTCTGAACTATATTTCAATCCATATAATCCGCCATCTTGAATCAAAATTCAGGCTGTCGGGTAGAACCTTCCTAAACTGATAACATACAAATTAATAAGAATTTAAACTCATTCTATGAACTTATTTTTTAGTTTAACAGATTTGGCAAAATAAGTTGCAACAGTTTGTTTGAGATTTGTGTCTATAACAGGTTGAACAACGTAAAGATATGATACTGTTGTTAAGAAATCTCAATCTTTCTGTAAATATGTTTGTTTTTGTTTGTAAAAATCTTTACCTACGACCGTTTTTTAAAGTAGCCGTTTCAGTACAGTTCTTAGAATTGAAAAGTATCTCATAACTGCATAGTTTTACTCATAACAACACGGGTAACGGACCAATGAGGTTCAAGGATTGAGAGAGGAGAAGCAAAATTGTAATGATTCGAAATTCAACTAATCAGCTGTTCCGGCCAATTTAATTGTTGATTGGTGCAATTAGTGAATTAGTGTTTGATTCCTTGCTTCACCGTCAGTGGCAATGAGAGGTTATAAACAAAAACATAACCTCTCTTAGAAGTTATGAGTAGTGATTTTTAGTAATTAAAACACTGTCGTAGGTAAAGTAGTGTAAGCAACTCGCGTAAATAGTGTTAACGACACTCGTAGAAGTTTTTAAGGCACTCGCCAAGGCTTGTACCTTAAATTTTCTACTCGTGTCGTTAACACTATCTTTACGCAATCGTTGCGTAAACTACTATAATACCTTCCTTACGCCTATCATAGGTCTATATAGGCTACAGTGAATTTACATTTCAAGATGTTTTGGACTTACTAAAGAACTTTATACTATTTTTTGAATTTTAAGCTCTTTTAATTCAACCAAATTTGATTTAAATTTAATTGTTTCACAAACAGATTAAACCAAAGCGACTCCGCGGTGGGATGCTGCAATGTGCCAAGTGTTTGGCCAAGTTCAAGTACAAAAGTACGTACGATTACCACGTCAAGTCCGCCTGCGGTACTAAGATGATCGCCCGTGACCATCTGGTGAAAAAGTCTGGGAAGAAGAACCAGTTTGATTGCAACGTTTGTCATAAGAGACTGTCAAGTAGGACTAGCCTCATGGTTCACATGCGTATACACACAGGTTGGTACGATTGCGAGATTTTCAAATCTTGTTTTATCTACTAGATAGAGTTACAAAGTAAAAATACACTGGTAGGTTGGACCTACTCAGGTAGGATTAACCCTTTCTGATCAGAAGGATATTATTTAAAGTTCATAATTTGTTAGGTAACTTACCAAACGGCCTTTCACACAGCAGGTAGGATAAATTTCACCTCGGTATTCCATGCTCGGTAATTGCCAGTGATATTGTGTGACATATAAACATTTGAAAACACAGAAAGCCACGATTGGCGCGCAGTACACTTTTTTAGAAATACATTTTTTTGATGTCTGCTGAGTGGTGATTTGTAATAGCGACTTTGAAACTAAATTAGAGAATGAATTCAAAATCGATAAGATAAATATTTACTAAATAACTTATTGATCAATATTGTATGTGTTGTTAAATTTACAGAAATTAAATAAAATGAAAATTTGTGTAGCCTAAAAAATGTGTAAACATATTTTACACTCATACTGTTAACCTAATAAGGTAAATACATATAAAAGAGGGCAAGCCATGATCAATTTTGGATTTGCCTACTGTATTTTGGATTTGGAGGTTTTGGGGATTTGGACCCAGGAACTCCAAGACCAGAGTCCTGACATCTATCACTAACCCAGCTTGATCCCTTGAACGAATAATATTGGAGAGCCTATGTATAGAGTAAAGACCTTGTGATAACAAAACCCACACAAAAGGTAACTTATCAACTCAATTTCGGTTGTATTGAAATCGGTGACTCATCGGTTGTCTGTGTAAACGGCAACCCTATAGTTTGCCCATGAGATGATGGTCCAACTCACTTTAAGCATCTTAGTGATAGCTGTATAGCGTCCGTTTAACTTTTATAGGCCCCTAATATATTTTAGTTTTGATTGTGAATAATCTGCAGCCCATACAATGCTATTGTAACGAAGAATATTTATCAGAACATTAATGTTTCAGGGGAGAGACCATTTGCTTGTGACATCTGCAGTCGCTCGTTCTACCAGAAAGCGCATCTCAAAGATCACATAAATAGCCATTTGTCCGGCAAACCTATGAGTCCACTCTACTACACGTGCGCAGAATGCGGGAACGTCTACCCTACAAAATCTCAGCTTACTTCACACATGAACGTTCACTTTGGCGACAGGGTGTTCGGGTGTAACGTATGTCACAAACGCTTCCGCACACGGTCGAACCTGAGCAACCACAAAATGATTCATTCGGGGAGAAAGCCGCACTGCTGTACCGTTTGTGGTAAAGATTTCCTGCGTAAACCCAGTCTGGACGACCACATGAGGATACACACCCAGGAGAAACCCTTCGAATGTGAGATCTGCGGGAAACGGTTCGCCGAGAAGACGCGGAGAAATACACACGTCAAACGACACACTGGGGAATTGACACAAGTTTGTCCGACGTGCGGGAAAAAGTTTGCTGGCTCTTACGATCTGAGAGTTCACCAGGTGTGGTATGTCTTGAAAATATGGGCTTTTAGGTTAAACTGATATACGGGAGTGGAATACCGTACTTGAAATTGTCCACTGTTTGAATTGGAATTGTAACCACTGTGTGTTGAAATATTGTGCAACAATGCTTTAACTTTCATTAGACATTATAATCCAATCAATTGTGGAGAGAATGTCTAATCTCTAAAAGATCAGCCTTTTGATGTTTTCAGCGATCCCAATATATGTAAAAGATGGAACATTAGCTATCCGGCAACACTGGTCAACATTAAGCCCAATCCAATCCAAGATTAAGTACCTAGTAGTGTTGATTTTTTATTTTTTGCTTGTTTAATTTTTCCCCCAAATCATAACAAAAACTTGCAGTGAAGAGATTAAATACAACCTTTCCATAAGTGATGCTCTGGTTTGGCTATTATTTAAAGTTGTTTTACATAAATGTTTTATCAGATTGAAAGTGTTTTTATTATTACAGATCCTGTTTGATATTGGGTTATTTCAGGTTGGGTTGGGTTAGGTTAGGCTAGAACCAAGACGACCTACATTTTGAATTGTGTATTGGAAAGTGCAAGTTATACAGTAGTAAAAAACTAACCCAAAATATCCAAATTTTCATTTTAATGTAGATCATTGACATTTAATCATGTAATGTCTAATTTGCTTGACTCGATGTGACTGTTTTGACAGAGAATGCACACTGGGGAGAAGCCATTTTCCTGTAACATCTGTGGCCGAATGTTCAACCGCAAGTCCATCATGGAGACTCACATGACAATACACACTGGACGGAAGGACTTTGTGTGTACGGAGTGTGGAGAAGCGTTCAACCGAAAGTCCAAGCTGGACATTCACCTGACGACTCACACGGGCGAGAAGTTCTTCTGTGAGGTCAGTTGTCAGTTTGAGTTCTGTGATTCTCAAACGCCTAATTTGTACTTCAAGGTGAATAGTTTTTGGTTTGGTAGAAATTGTAGGGAACTTAGTAGTGGGTGGAAACTGAATGAACGAATGAATTTTGTGTTTAAAAACGTTTCAAATGAGATTCAATTTGGTTGGAAGTGTCAGGCGTAACTGATACGTTTGTCTAATACATTGTTAAGAATTGTGTTTAAAGGGATGGATTTCAAGCACCTTAAAAATAACCCAGGCCAAGCATAAAAGGACACATGCAGTGTGGTTGTTTCAACTAGGAGAGGTCATTCGATTCATGACAACTCTTTCCAATGTAAATTTAAATTCCAATAACATTTAAGTTAAACCAACCCTGAAAGGACAATTTTTTGCAAACTATGCCATCAGTTGTCACATTCACTGACATGGTATCAGAAACTAAGAGAGGAAATAGAATGTTGACTGTAACCTTAAAAATTATCTATAAATCTATAAAAAATCCATGGATGGGATGTCTACTTCAGTATCCTAATTCTTTGACTATCAGTGGAACTAAACATTACATTCCCATGTTAGAGTCGTCTCCAGTTTGGAATAAAAATTGATTGTGATGATGTATATTATTGATTTCTGTTGAATTTGTAGACTTTTAAAGAAGTCAAACTGATAAAACGACTTATTGTAAGTTATAGCATCTTTCATGTTACGTCATCTATCTCAGTAACAAAAAATAGGGTTGAAAATATAATTTTAAACACTAGTGCAATCCACGACCTGGCTCATTCAACTATGACCTTTTTTTAAGAACAATTTGGAGACAACTAATCCTTATAGGTACTTTTGTATCCAAAAGTAATAAATTTCCAATAAGGTGTGTAAAGATTCAACAAATTTGGATGAAGCTTTTCAAGGCTTTAGCCCTTTGGTAAATATAGGTAGCCTCCAAAATTTATTGCCCAAGGTCAATTCTTTCTAACATCTCTCGATGCTTCAGATTTGCCACAGAGTGTTCAAGTGTAAAGCGTATCTCGTCCCACACATTCGGACACACTTCGGCATCAGCCGTATGAGAGGGAAGACCTGCAAATGTCTGCTGTGTCGACAGGAGTTCCCCAATCACCAGCTGTTGCAAGATCATCTGGCCAAGACACACCCCACATTGTTTCAACCCCCCTCCCCTGCCTCAGCCCCTCCTCCAATCACGTTTGTCAAGGTAGAGTCCGATCAGTAATGTTTTTTACGCTAAAGGTGTGTTAGGTATTGAGTATCTGAATGTGCTTTTACACTGGACAATGAGTGAAGGGAATTTCGTTAACTTTTGTGACAAGTTTTAGTATTATCAATCAACAATAACATGATTATTTAAAAGAATCAAAGCACAATCCAATCAAATAAATATAATCAAGTTTTAAAGCTGGCTGATAAGATGAGATGTATGTTTACTATTTGATCAGAAATTTGCTAGTTCAGTCCTCTTTTGAGTTGACCTTTTTGATGCTTTTTAAAACTGGTATCAGCTGTTGTTATTGGGTTATAGGTTAATTTGACTGTTAAAAAACAGCTGGTCTTATTAAACTTAAAGCTACACTAGATATTTATCTCCGTCTACACTAATCATTGTACTAAACAACATCAAACTTTAGGCAACACAGTGATTTTTATTACAAAAGGCGGCCTATAAACTATACAGTCCAGTTTACAAGAGTTTTAAATTAAGCATCCATATCAGACATCATATGAACATTCGTCATTTTATTTTCTACACTTATTCGTCAGTTTTTCTAAAACATTTTTCCAAATTTTTTGTCTGACACAATTAAAAGTTATTGACAGGACAGGAGCAGGTGTCATGTGCTTATCAGTGCATTGCCATAAGGATTTTTTTTCTGAAAGGGCTTTTGCTTGGTGATCATTGATTAAAATATGACATACCTTGGCCATATGGTTTTACAGTTACTTTTGTTTTTTTTGTTAGGATGAAATCCAGCAGATTTTTTTACCAAGAAATTAGGTTAGACCAAAAATATGCAATTATGTTTTGTTTTGGGGAATTATTTTTGTCATACTCGTGGTAAATATTTTCTCTTACTCCATCGCATGAAGGATATATCATTCCGGTTTTGTATTTTCATATTTCTTTACTCATATACTCACATTTTTGTTTTTAGTTGGGTAAAAACATGATTATGTTACTAATGAATTTGTATTTACCTTTTGAGAATTTTCACTTTGTCCAGTCTTTCCCATGAGTTCCTTTCTTTAGAGCAAGGCCTTGTTTACTTGTGTTAGATATGTAGTGAGGTATTGATATTGATACAGTTAGAATCTCAAAAGCATCGTTTCTTCATTTCTTAAGATATTTAGTTTTTATGTAATGTAATAGAAACCTACTAGTCAATATTTAGTCTTGATAATTTTTTATGGAAACACTAATGGTTCTTCTTCTCCGTGATAATTATGTTCAGTTTGTGTAGATTTTTTAAAGGCTTGTGTTTTTCAAACTGAAAAGTTGAAAAGAAAACATATTTATTGTTACATACATTGTTAATTGCTAGTTTGTATTGATCACTATTCATAGTCATACATATGTGCCGTACCAAGTGCAATATAATTTTGATTTCATTATGTTCCTATAGCTCGGGTATTGAGTACTTAATAAAATAGTCAGTATATTTTCATGTTTATATATTTCAATTTAAGTTGAAGATAAAGTAATTGTATATTTTAAACTATTTCAGTTACCGGTACCACAGTAAGACTTATTTTAATGTTATGTAGCTAGTGTTGTGCTTTTTTTTTCAACACTTAAGAGTTAGTTAATTGTTGGTTTTCAAGTTTACTTGTGTTGTGATTTTTGTTTGTTTTCTAGTCGGTATGTTAGTCATTTTTCTAGGCCTATATATTTATACAATACAATTGTATAGTTTTTGTTCCTATTATGCTTATTGTTGAAGTTTGTGTATTGCTATATGGGAGAAGTAGTGTTTATTGTGTTCCGTGTTTACCAATTACTTAACATAGTTCTCTTAAGTTATTGAATAAAACTTTTGTTATAGCAAGTGATGTGCACTTTGATACCTCGTAGTAGTATACGTTGATTTTGGATATAACCTATTTAGTTTGACACCTAATGTTTGCCATAAGACAATTCATAAAGCTATTGAGATGGATTGCGTTTGATTTCAAATAATATTCTGAATTCAAAAATATCACTTTATATTGTCCAATGCACACGGTTTGAAAAAAAAATCATTTCTGGTCCTCCTTGAAAAAATGCTTGCTTACCCAATCCAACCCCTTTAATGTGAAGCATGTGTCTGGTTTTTCACTAACTTGGAACGTGAATTCGGATGACTGGGAAAGTGTCTGTGAATTGTACATGAATTATGTGTGGGATTGAGAATTATAAGATTTTGGGGGGAAACGGAGCGAGTGCTGTTTAATTCTTTGCCATGGGTGTTATAAACTGTCAAAACTGACAGATAGGCCCGAGTGTTGTTTGACTCCCCAGAGCGTAAGAGTGATTCAGGGGAGGGGTGTAAGTGGAAGGGGGTCTAGTGGGTAGGATGTAATGGAGACTAGGTACAGTTTCTTAACTGGGCTACCCTAATATCTATTGAAAATTAATATAAACTCCATTAGTAAACCTTCATCCATTTTTTTATAGTTTGGTTAGTTTAGGTTATAACAGTTTCATTTCATCCCTAAAACAAAAACAAATTTTGCTCATCCCCACCTGGTCGATCTTTCCACCCGCATCCCCGCCACACTGAGGAACTTGATACCGTGGTCACTCGCTCCGCCAAGCCTCAGGCTGTAAAATGTTTACCTCATTTAAGTGTTTAGGCAAACGGCACTCGGCCCTGCACTTGATTTTAGGTAGTTGACCATAAAAGCTGGCAAGTCAAGCAATACAAATCCCAATTAAACTTCAAAAACCCCATTTGAAGAACCATTGGTCGTGTCTATAGAGCCTAGTCTATTTCCAAGTCAAAATGCTTGCTTTAGCTGATTTTATAGACTCCATCTGATATGTTGATGCTTGTAAAACCATTTATGTGTTTCACTGTCGGAATGTCATCTCCAGTATTATGATTGGTCTGGGATCTGTTCAAACTTGATTTTTCAGGAGTTTCACCTTCCCGTATCTTCGTAAAATTGGCCTAGCAAAACTCACTCCTTACCACTTTAAACCCAATTAAACTAAAAACAACAATTTTTTATACAATTGCTATAAAAAGATACAGCCATTTGTAAAGAATGTGTTTTTCCACTGTTAACCCAATAAATCTGCAACTATAAACTTGTTTAATTGTTTTGGGAAAATTAATTTAATAAACAATACCAAAATTCCTATACACCTTAAGCGTTAAATACAATTTATACAAATAGCACATAAGTAGTGGAGCATCGATTATCTAAAGTCCGGTTATCCGAAACGTCAGTTAACCCAAAGACTGATCACCGTTGCTGCAGTGAACGCAAACGACGATTAGCGATGGGGTAAAACCATAAAATATGCTCAAGGGTTTTGCTGAGATTGCAAGAAACAATCACCGATGAAGCCGAGAATGTTAGATAGATATGCTCACGATTGTTGTGATTGCGATAGACGATCATCGGTGTCACCGTCAGTCAATGACCGATCATGCAAAAAATCAACAACTATACGAACACCCCAATCCCAAATTGTTTTGGATAATTGACTCTACTGTATCCTCTTTCACTCCTGAGTTTGGGAATCCACTAGGACTCTGTCTTTTTTTCCCACAGTTCAGTTCCTCTGCCATCCCAAATCCTCTCTTCTTCATGTTCCTCTTCATTTCATCTTTCATCTACTTACCTGCTTAACCAAGCTCTTAGTTTCCTTTCATAATTTAACTCTTCTTGCATGCCAAACCATCATACTTTTGCTTTCCTCTCTCCTGTTATCTCATTCCAATTCTTCTCCACCAGATGTTTACGAATTGGTGTGAATACCTGCTTCAATGTAACTAAAATGTTTCTCAATAACTCATTTATTTAAATACTAGCTGTACCCGCGGGCTTTGCCCCGTTTTACTTCATAAGTGAACTCGTTCGCATGGCTCAATCACGTCCTGGTTGAAGTTCGTTCGCTACGCTCACTCTGGAGCTCGTTCGCTGCGCTCACTCTGGAGCTCGTTCGCTGCGCTCACTTGCCTTCAGGTTAGCTCGTTCGCTACGCTAACTCGCCTCCAGGTTGGAGTTCGTTCGCTACGCTCACTCACCTTTTGGTTGCAAATTAGCTGTTGTCATAAATAAAAAAATAATAGTGCTGCACCCTGTTGGAAATCCTTGTGTAAGTTTTTAATGCTTTTGCATATCATAGAACCAACTTTTTAGTTGAAACAGCTGACTAAATTCTTTAATTCCCTTTTAATATGAATACTCATAAGGTTAACATGGGGAACTATAGAGCCACTGGGGCGGAGCCCGAAAGGATTTTTGAGATAAGAATATGCCTATATGTTAATCGGGAATGTGAGCTATCATCATGCCAAATTTCAGCAAAATCCGTCCAGTGGTTAATGTGTTCACTTGTCACAAACATACATCCATACATCCAAACTTTCTCATTTATAATATTAGTAGGATTAGAGATGTATTTATACATGTATTGGTTTTGTCAAAATAATAAACTGTCATTGAGCTCACAATAATAAAATTAACTAAAACATGCTAATGCCACAACTGACTTTCTTCAGACGTTAAAGGATGCCATGAGTTCATAGGACATCGATTCAAATTAGTATAACACGGACATTGAAACGATAAAACGGTATATTTAAAATAAGTTTGACACCTAAAGATGATTCCTTTAAAGTCGAAACTAGCATTACCAATTTTTTGGATACAAAGAAGGTATAAATTATCGACTATTAAAGATGGGGACGCCACTATATGCATATTTTAACCCAAATATGAGTGGTACAATATTTTAGTCTTGTTAGTGACAAAGGCCAACATGTTTCTTAAACACATCTGTTACTTAATAGGCATACAGATAATGGCAACTGAGGGACCTATAGTTTTTTTTTAAGTGGAATCCAAACCACATTTTTCCCTTGTAATTAACAAATTGGTCTAATTATTAGGATAGTACTGCGTATAGTCATATAGTACTCACTAGTGCAGACATTAATCCACACCAGGGAGCATCACATCCACAGTGCATGGCTATAAATAACCACAATTCGTATTTACTTGGACCAATTCATATGTTCAACATAATTGGGAGGATAACATAAAAAATTAGATGTTTTATCTTCTTCAATCACACAATTAACTAAACCTATAAATTAATTATCAAACAGAAATTGAAGGAAAATCTTTTGAGTAAAGTTTGGTAAAATCTTTAAAATATTTATTCGCTTTTGAGCTAAAATGTAAAAAATTTCATATAATTTGCTATGTACCTACATGAAATAAATAGCCTATTCTACAACAAATAATTTTAAAGTTACATTCATTTGCACAATATTATTGTGTAGTTTAACTACTAGTTTTGCTAAGTTTATCATCTGAAATTAAAATAATAGAAACGCTAATCTACCCGTGATAAATACAACCGAAGAAAAAGTCATACAAGAACACCTTAATACTTATAAGCATTTGCTAAAGTCTTACCTTACCTTTCATACACATTTATTACTTAAAGCTGTAACTGGGGATTGAAAAACTTGATCACACCAAGAAATTTGTCTAATAACTATTCATTATATCCAAGTTTGATTTGTAATGAATCAAATATATTTAAGAGCAAGGAAAATGTTAAAAGTACACTCAGCACCTATGCAAAACAGGCCTACTATGGGATAGTTCACTGTTGAATATACTGAATATAGTCGGCTAAGAAAAACCTGTTACACTCAAATGTTCCGGCACAAGTTACTCTTCAGTTTATATGTTAGTTTTGATTAGGTTTATAATGTCAAAAACCCCGAGAAAACAAAACAAAAACTTGGCCAAACACCAACAAATATACCTATTAATTATTTTGGTTATCAGTAACGATTAGTAGTTACTATTAGTAAACACAAGAACACAATCACATTGATGTATATAATTTCCGTCGTATGACATTGTTGGATTTTTTTTACTGCAGTAAAAATACCGTACAATATTTAAGTTGAAAGTTTGGTATAAAGAATAAATTATCTCACTGAAGTTATGGACTAAAGTTGTGGTCTTCAGATTATTAATAACAGAATGAACATTAATGCATGTGAACATTTTGGCCTCGATACATTGTGCTATCTTCAGGGCGAATTGACTCCATCTGCTGAAAAGATGGAGTAAGCTAGTAATAATTCTGTTATGAAAAGTAACCTTCAAAAAAAAGGTTGGTAGCCTCTTTTACCTTGCATTAGCCTATCCATATGGACCAAAAAGGACGGTGCGTTGAACATATACAGCAAAGCGGATCTAAACCCACGACATCACTGCCTTGGGCTTGAAATCCGTGACGCTACCGACTCGCCTAAATACCATCAGAACTGTTTAATTCCAAATTAATTATGTTTGGGAATTTATTCCACAAATCAAAATTTCAACTAGGTAGTAGGTCTAACGGCGAATTAAATAATTTACGTTGAATTTTGTAATACGTAATTATTCCTTGTGTTTACTAACAGTTATATCACAATTAGCTCTATAATTGGTTAAGTTTCAATGTTTCTTCTTCTTGATGTATTTGTCGTATTTTTGTACCCATTTCTCAGAATCTTTGACACTCTCACCGCCTGGTGGGTGAAGACGGACCTAGAAAAAATATAAAGAATATAAACTATAGGTTAAATCTATTTTCGATTAGATTAAATCTGCTGGAAGTCGTTTTATTGATGAAAACAGTAAATATGTTTAGTAATAAAAATTATGCCATGTTCTGTAATGACCACACATAAGAGTTACTATCTCAGTTTCATTAATTATCTAAAATAGGTTTCAAAGGCCTAGATTTTTGGAAATTGGAATAGAAGACTTATTTGAATGGGAAAGGGTCCATTCTGGCATAAAAACACAAGGAATTCTCTGAGACAATAAGTAATCAGAATATTTCACTGCCACTGAAAGAACTTTGAGGATGGTATTACTCTCTTTCCTTATATACCTTTCTTGGTTGAAAATGATGACAGTGGCAGTAAAATACAAATATTTTGTCAAATTGTACAGATTTTTTATAAACACATATGTTATTTTTTGCCAGGACGGACTCTTCCCCATTCATGTAACCCTCATTTTTATCGACACTGTTTTAAAATTTATTTTATTTCGTCCATCTTAAAGAATGGTTATCATATATTTATAATTTAAATATATAGGCCTACCGTAGTTCTCTCATACATTTTACGTAGTTACATGACATACATTTTCTATAATTAGGTTAATCTGAGATGATCCATAATCAAGATTAAAAAATAAGTGCTTACAACTTTTGACAAAATATTGTAAAATTGTTTTCTGAAAATTCCCAAATGTCCAATGATCAAAAATATTTATAGGCTAGTTATTGAGATCAGAATTTAACCCCTAACACCCACACTTGAACAAAAGAAAGTTAAAACCACTACTTTAAGATACCAAAAATATTCCAAATCGTACGATTACACACTACAAATACAGTAAAACAGTTGAAAGATACTGAAGGGAATAAAGAACAAACATGCTTTCAAAGAAAAAAATCTAAATAATATTCCAAAAAGAAAAAATACTGGAAGATAGTAAATAAAAAATAGATTCATGCTACAACACTTTGCAGAGAAATAAATATATTGCAGAGATAATAAAACTGGATAGCTGAAATAGAAGTGAAAGTTCTTAGTGAAGGACATGTCCATGCGAACGTAATATTGTACGATTTACCACACATTTATACCAATGTCCTATTGCTTTGCAGTGTCTCCTAAAATTAATTTTAATCCAACAAGGGGCCGAGAGCAAATTGCACATTGTAACAAAGTCATGTGATTTCAAATTGCCCTCACAATATTCATTTTAAAATTCTAAGCAATTATAACTGTAAACGTATTATTTTTTTAATATTTAAAATCTGTTTAAAGGTTGACTCAAATTGGAATTTGGAAAAATATCTTGCTATTTTTTTACAATAATTACTCAATAGCTCAAAATTGTTTTAGATAAAAAACAAGTAATAATATAGCATATTGCATATTTACAGCTAACTTTAGTTAGTACCTTCATTACCATAATTTTTTATAGCATGAAAATATAATGAAAGGAGTATTGAGTTATAATTAGTGTTTTTGATTAGAGGGAATATTTTAGTGGAATTTCACTATTGATGGTCTTAATAATTTACTACATTTGTCCAAAACAATCTTAATATAAATTAGAACATTGCTTTAATTATATGGAAATCAAAAGGGGAAAATGCTCTCCTTTCATTGAACTACACAGTCTAAACACATACAGGGTGTTGAAAATGTCTGGAACCAACATTATATCTGGTGAGTGGTTAAAGAAAAACAACTGATATTTTGTGTACGGATATACTATGGTTTTACCTATCTTTTGGTGCCTTATGAAATTTTTTACCACTTATAGGGAACGTCCTGTGGAGGATGGAGTAAAAAGTTTTAATGGAAGCCTATGGTAAATGATACATCATTTTAAAGGCCATTTTTTTCTGAGTAAGGAGCCGCAAGTTTCATCTCAAAAGGACCACCCTAGTGAAAATGGCGACTGTTTGAAATTTAAAAACCCACTCATAGGGAACGTCCTGTGGAGGATGCAGTAAAAGGTTTTAATGGAAGCCTATGGTAAATGATACATCATTTTAAAGGTAATTTTTTTCTGAGTAAGGAGCCACAAGTTTCATCTCAAAAGGACCACCCTAGCGAAAATGGCGACACTGTTTAAAGTTTTTGAAAATAATTGAAAGCCTAATTGGTATTTATGTTAAAAATAAGTTTAGTAAAACAACACAAACAATTTAGTTAAATGTTTTTTTTTAGGCACTTTTCAGTTCACCACGTTATAAACTACTGTACTTCGTAACTGGCTTGTAATAGCATTTAAAGGAAACAAATACGGACCATTTAAATAGCAATGTTTTTAAATTTCAAACAGTCGCCATTTTTGCTAGGGTGGTCCTTTTGAGATGAAACTTGTGGCTCCTTACTCAGAAAAAAATGGCCTTTAAAATGATGTATCATTTACCATATGCTTCCATTAAAACTTTTTACTGCATCCTCCACAGGACGTTCCCTATAAGTGGTAAAAAATTTCATAAGGCACCAAAAGATAGGTAAAACCATAGTATATCCGTACACAAAATATCAGTTGTTTTTCTTTAACCACTCACCAGATATAATGTTGGTTCCAGACATTTTCAACACCCTGTATAATAATAGACAGTTTGTCTTTTTTCCCAGACAATATAGTAAACGTTCCCACTCTTGAAGATTTACGACAACTACCACTGTAACCTGATTTATTTTTTTATTATTGTGTTGAAACAATATTACTTTTCTTAAAGTTTGGTAATGATCTTAAAAATTCAATTTGAAGTCGAAAGAAGGAGCGTGCAAATGCAATAAAAAGGTTATTTGAAGCTTTTTGGAAGTAGAAATGAAGCAGCTTAAACTGTCTCTTTGGGAAATTCAAAACAAATTTCACTATAGCCTGTTCACAAAATTAAGGCGGTTAGGGGTTCCCCCACTACTTTTTTGCTTAATATATATGTTGTAGCTATGCAGCTGATTGACGTTTTGGCAAACCTCAGCTGATGAGCTATTGTTTTAAAAGTAGGATCAAGTGAAGCGGATAAATTTCTTTCTCTAAAACTGCCTAGATTTTGTGAACGGAGTATAGTTTTAAAGTTCTATATGGTCAAAATAAGAAGATATATGGATATTAGTTATATAAACTAATAAAAAAACAAAAGTTGAATTCAAAACTGAAAACACATGTACCATCCTCTTTAAGAATTACAAGAATATAAAAATCAGCTAGAGAAAATACAGAATAAGAACAAATTACATAAACATGAAAGAAGAGACAGGGTGCTTCAAAGATAGAAGTGGAGGTAGAGAAAGAACAAATGCTGTAAGAAATAATATACAACATGAAATGCGGTAATCATGCAGGTCATTAAATGTCGACTACCTATCCTAGTCTTCGGCCTTTAGGTCTTCCTTCTTGATCCGCTTCTGAAAATCATGGTTACTCTATAATGACATGTTTTAGTAAATTAGTGGACTAGTACTGAGTACAGTTGTACAGATAGTGAGTTGAATATGAATAAAGTATGGTGGTAAGAGAATTTTACTACTGTAGATCCTCCTAAAAATAAATTTTAGTTATTTTGCGAAGAGACATGTGTGTAAGTCAAGGCAATTAACTAGGAAGGAGGATTTTTAAGTGACAAATATTCATTTTAAAATATACCTTTTGTAGCTTGCGGTATTTTGATACATATTCCATTGATTTTCCAACATTAAAATAAATCATATGCCTACATAAGGCACTGAACAGTCTTTATGATATCAGTCCGATGTTTTAAATTTGAACAGCTAAAAGAACATTTATTTAACCCTAGAGCAGGGATTCTTGTTCTTAAATCAATATTCTCTCTATGGAAGAATTTTTTTTAAAGGTTCCATGTAGGAAATTGTTTATCGAGGCTAACTGGTGTCTGGGTCCATGGATAAAAACACCCTTCCCCACGAACAATATTAAAACAAAATGGTTTAAAACCTATTTTTTTACTGCCTAAAAACCTGAATTCTCTTTTAAAATAATGTCTACATACTTATTTGTCCCTATAACCTTTAACAAGATTGTAAATCAATTTCCAAATTAAAATAGGGTAATAGAGAATTGGAAAAAAATATAAAGAAGGTTCAAAATATCTGATCTGAGATCACTATTCAAAAGATATGATTTCAACAAACAACTTTATACTTGTCAATTATTCATTTCAAATTCAAGTTAGAAGTTAAGGTGTTCAACCTAGCAACCAAATTCAACTGCTGAATATGTTTGAGGGATTGTGAATGACGTTTGATCTTCGATTCATGGTACAACACGAAGGCAGCTAGGAAAACCTGCCTAAACAGTGTCAACTATACCCTCTTCTGTGTTTTACTTGTACGAAAAATTAATTAGTACACTCAGCAAAACATAAAGACAATAGTAAAGTATTAATTGTTATCATTGGTCAAGTAAACAAACAAAAGGCACAAAGAATTAACATCAATTATCAACTAAAACAAAAGAGAATAGAAAAACTCTAGTTTAGTTCACACCATAGGATATACAATAACTAATTAGTACCATAACACCAAATTAATTAGTCACAAGTGAAAGTAACCGTGTGAATAACTCACCATGATTCTGGCCTTCTCTTTGCAAGCAAAGTCTGTTTCGTCAACGTCGTGGTAACAATCAGACTTGTAATCCTCGGGGATCGGACCTCCGTCAAACTCACAAAGTTTGTTTAGTGGTCGAGCTCTCACGATCATTTTGTCAATACCTGCACAATACTATGAGTTACTTTAAAGGATTTTGTGGTCAGGACTCATCTTAGAATAAGGAGTAAAACAGTCTTACTATTGGAGGTATCATTTCCAGTTGGTTCCATGGCAGAAAATGTAATAAAAGTTGATAAAGCTGATAAAAACAACAATTTGTGAAAACTTTTGATTTTTTTTACCCCCCCCCCCTTCTTTGTTACATCATTGTAGGCTACACTAACAGAGAAATTTACAAAGACACTGAAACAAAGCTTTAAGTGAAATTTTTTGTTCGGACTACTTTAAATTTATAGGTCTTTTCAAAACATAGTTTTCCATCAGATATGTCAGCTCTATCTTGATTTTATCCTCCAGGACATCTTAAGCATCTATGTTTGGTTGTGGTTAACTAGTACTTTTAATTGTTGTTGGGTTGTTAATTCCAAAAGATATTTTGTGAAACTTTCTTGCTATTAAGAAACATTCTATGATCTATCATTATTTTAATTTGATGAAATGGTCCATATAATACTTTTGATTAACCAATGCTGTGAGGGGCCACAGAGAAAAAAGATACATAGGAAACTTGCTGATGGGACGTTCGTGCGCTTTCAGCTCTAGTATATTGTGTCAGGATTATGCTTGTGACAAAGAGGAAAGAGCTGGAACGACGAGGGCTGTGCATAAATTCCTATCGCACAGGACTCAGGGTCTTCTTCCATTGTGACCGCTGTAGCACATGATGGCGAGGAGGGGGGGGGGTGTTGGACTTTGCCCAAGACACCAGCACTTGTGCTAGACACCATTTACGTGTACCCTCTGTTTCCTCTGTATCTTACTGCTCTATGGAAGGGCCAAAAGCTTCTCTAAGACCCCTCTTTGACCACCTATGGGTAGCTTACGTTTTAAATGCTGGTACTTATTGCAAATGTAGCTCTGACTTTTTACCATGCAATACTTATAATTGTAATTTATAATTCCTATAAATAGATATACCGGTGGGTTTGTGCTGAGGACAGTAAAATACTCCTGGTGTCTTCTTGTCAAACACAATTGACTTCTTCAGCATGTCTTTAGCCTCCACTGCCACCTACAAAAGATGTGTTGAGAATGTTTTGGATACAAAATATGTAACTGCCGAACAAATCTGCAGGGTAAGTGAATTTCACGTTGCTTCATTGAGTTTTTATTCAAACAAATAAAAACAGTTTTTCCATTATAAAATTGTATCGACTCAGTGAGAACTTAAGTTTGTTATGGGGGTGAAAATATCGATGGTTCAATTGTCCTTGAAAGCTTAATATGAAATTGAGATGTTTTTACCAAATTTTATAAAGGTATAATATTCATATATGCTGGCTACAGCACTAATATGAGAAAAACATGGGGGACAACTTACATTATTTAGCACTTCATCTTGGTTTCCATTAGTATGGACATATATTGTGTTAATTTGTTTGTTTTTTAAGATGGTTTGAAAGGTGAAAATACATTTCAGAAACTTAAAAATATGGTAGGCCTATGGTACCTACTTTAAACAATTTTAAACAAAGAAGGAAAAAGCATATTTTTTAGTACAACACCCAACACACTAAACTTTAAATGGTAACCAAATTACACATAAGAAATCAATACCAAGATTTTTATTTTACCACCTTCACCAACTTTTCTAAAATACAACACTTTTTTACGAACCAGGATAAAGAGAAGAGCGACAGCTAACCCCCTGACATCTGAAAAAAAAACAAATATAAAACTTTATTCTAAATTGTTTGATAACAAAATCAAATTGCATTGTTCTTCTAAATAACAGTTATGTTAGAGGATTGCATGCAATGAGACGTCACAAATGATGAACATCAGATGCTTGCGTTACTTCTTGCGTGGTATGTTATGTTGACTCTCAGTTTTGGTGAAATTGAATAGAAAGCGTGAAGTTATAGTTCAGTTTTGGTCAGTAACACAATGGACTTTATGATGCAAAGTAGAAGAAGGTTGTTTTAAACTGTTCCATATGTCTCATACCGCTAAATCCTTTTTGGCTCCCTCTGAACCCAAAAAAGTGGTTTTCAAAATGATGTCTGTATATTGTGTGAGTGGGTGTGTTGTGATCTATGTACTGACTACACCTGGACTACATGATTTTGATTTGATTTGATACGTGATTTTGATTAAATTTGGTTTGTAGGTTTTAACTAATAGCATCTCCAGAGTTTTTTTTCCCCTTTTTGCATAAGCATAAGGACAGTACCGTTAATGTAGTAAGTAATGAGTATAGGAAGAGTAATTAGGACCTTATAGAGCAGATTCAGGTTCTGCAAATAAACTGATGGTGTTGCAATTAAGTGTGATGGTGAGTTTTAAGATTAAACACTTTTTAGCGAATTTCCCATATAGGGAATAAGCTATTACCGTAGTTCTCATGGTAAGACCTCGACCCGGGACCGAATTTCTTTTTCGTTTTGAGGTCCCTAGAGGTCAAAAATAACATCCGTTCAAATTCATATAATATATATATATATTTATATATCTTGATGAAAATGCCAAATGACTTTTATATTCTTGAGGAGATCTTGATAGAATTTATGATGAATGAAACATGAAACATTGCAAATTTGCGTTTAATACAAACGTTTTCAAGCAAAGAGAAATTAATGAAAAATGTAAAAGATTAAAGATGAACAAAACAAATAAATATGAACTGTTTACAAATAGTTGAATTTTGAGAACATATGATTGAGTACAGATCAAAGAAAATAAAATCAGCCTAAAAGAAAATTAAAATTCAGCTGAGTTGAATCACTTTTACTTTCTCCCCCTATACCATAGTATATGGAGAAAGTATTGTTTTCGTCAAAATTTTCGAGTTTGAGTTTTGAGTGGATATATTCGTTTTGGGTCCCCCTGGACCTAAAAAAGTGGTTTTCGAAGTGATGTCTGTGTGTGTGTGTGTGTGTGTGTGTGTGTGTGTGTGTGTCTGTGTGTCTGGATGTGTACAGAGCTAGAGACTACACCTGTGGTCCGATTTCGATGAAATTTGGTATGTAGGTTCTAATCCATGGTATCTCCAGGCGTTTTTTTCATTTTTTTGAAATTTTGATTTTTAATGGGGATTTTCCCATAAAAACCCATAAAAAACCGGAAAAATCTGATTTTCTCAAAAATGGCCCGAACGATTTTGATAAAAATTTAGTATGTTGTAGCCCTTTAAATTCTGAACAAAATGGTACAAATCCCATTTCTGTAAAAATTACGGTTCAAAAGTTATGGTAAGTTATGCTATTTTCCCATAAAAACCCCATAAAATAACGAAAAATAGAATTTTAGACAAAAATCCGGTTTTGATTTAACACTGTATGTTATGGTCCTTATTGTGATAGTTTTTTGAATTTTTTAGAAATTTTTATTTTCAATGGGGATTTTCCCTTAAAACCCCATAAAATAACGGAAAATAGGATTTTCCCAAAAATGGCCTGAACAATTTTGATAAAAATTTAGTATGTTATAGTCCTTTATATTCGGAAGAAAATTGTCCAAATCCTATTTCTGTAAAAATTACGGTTCAAAAGTTATTGTAAATTATGTTATTTTCCCATAAAAACCCCATAAAATAACGGAAAATCAGATTTTTCCAAAATTGGCTCGAACGATTTTGATAAAAATTTAGTATGTTATAGTCCTTTAAATTCTGAAGAAAATTGTTCAAATCCCATTTCCGTATATTTACTCTCACCGCTTACACATGATAAAGGTTGTTGACAAGCTTATGGGAGAAAGTATGTGTCAGAATGCTGATACCGTTTATTTTACTACCTATCTTAAATTTAAACCAGAGGGGAACTTTGTTTTCAGTACCAACTGGTGAGCCAATTCAGAATTTCTTAAAACCAGTTGGTTGCATTAAGGGTTTTGATGTGGGTTTACTTTCTGAAGGGCTTTAAGGGTATAGCAGCCTTCAAAATTTTGGTTGTGGTGAGCGGCATGATTATAGATTGGTTTTCTTTTGTCTTCATTTACCACATCAAAACGATGGCCTGTCATTCGAACTCTTAAAGAGTTTGAAGTCTGGCCAATGTAATCTTTTGGACAATGTTTACACGATAGTTGATAAATCACATTGTGAGATTCAAAAGTTGATCTACCAACAATTGGATAAACCTTGTTTGTAACTTTACCATCAAATTCAGTTGTATTACTCATAATTTTGCAAATACCACATCGGGGCTTGTGACATGGTTCACAGCCGTGTTTAGAATTGTTTGAAAGCCGAGAATTTTGAATTTTGGGTCTCACCAACATATTTTTTTAAATTTTGTGGCCTTTTAAAAATAACACGTGGTGGTCTGGAAAATATTTTTTTTTTTTTTGAATGGGGGTTTTATGGGGTAAAAATAGGTTTTTCCCACTTTTGACCCTCAAAACACAAAATTTCACAATTTCTTTACAAATAATTGTGTAGAGCTTAAAAAAACAAATAATTTAGTATATTTAAGCGTTATTATGCGCCTAATGGTTATAGAGAAAATCCAACAAAATTGTAATTTTAAAATTCCCATGTTATTCTTATGGAGAATAAGTCAACTGTTGTAGTTTGCTTGTTTATGAACATATTTTGATCAAATTTGGAAAATTAATTCATTTCCTACTAAACTACAGTACCTTTTAACATTTTACAACAACAAAAAACTTTTTTACCCTCCCTGTTGCAGCAAACCTAAGTACTTGTTCAACTAATGTTTATTTAAATAGGGAATACGAGATGGAGACATTTTAGTGTAAATCCAATCAGGCAAACGGAAATTCGCTAAGTCTGCAGGTTTGCTGCCGCGGGGGTACCTATTAGCGAATTTCCCATATAGGGAATTAGCTATTTTAATTTTAAGATGGATCAAGATTATTTCCCCTATCTAAACTCTGTGAGGTAGGTTAAGTAATAAAAAGTGAGTTGAATAGAATAGAATAGAAAAACTGCTTTATTGATTACATATTATGTACAGTACATGAAATAAAAGTAGTACTTTTGTTATATAGCGCACATACAAAAATGGTCATACGACCATCTGCTGGGTTGGCATAATGTCCATTCAATATTATTTGTCCCATATAATTAACATACAAAGCACTAAAACTAAATAAAATACCCTTCTTTAGGCAACATACATACATATATAGCCTACACATACACGTATGCATACATGCACATATATGTATACTTTAAACACAGTTGTATACTTTAAAAAGTGAGTTTATAGTAAATAGTCCACATTGCTCCGCAATAACTTAGCCTTCTCCATTTTAGATTAAAAAATTCCTTTTTTAAGAGGACATTGAATAGAAACTAGATGGGTCATTAAATTATATAGACCATCTTCCGAAGACTTAACTTGATTTTTAATGTTTACTTAATGTTGATTACATTGAGTTAAAATTGTCATTAATCTTATTTTGAGAATTCCAAATAGCATGTTTTAGTATAATTATTATAACATTGATTTAAATCTTAGAAAAACTCTCTTGGTGTTGACAATTTCAATGCAAACTTTGATGTTAGTTTGATTTCAGGAGTTTAATTTGGTTTTGAGTGCCATCTATCTATATATATAATACGCTAAGCCAATTTTTGTGAACAGAACTCCTCCCACATTTTTGGACCGATTTTGATGATTAAAGTGTCAAAAAGATTGCCCTGATCTGTAGTTTTGCAAAGTGTTTTTGGTTTTTTGAAATCTTTATTAGTTTGGGCAGGATCTTCCATCAAAGTTGGGTTTTCTCCCATAAGATTAACATGGAGAAATCTAAATATTTCATTGGAAACTTTGTCTCCTCTAATTTGAGAGAACGGCTGGGCGTAGAAACTTGGTAGAGGTCTCCAAAGAAAGGCCTTGGTCTGTAGATGAGTTATCAAAAGAAACACGAAGTAAATTCCCTTAGGGCTCTGCCCCAGAAGCCTTTAAAAATACCTCGACAAATTTGTTTACATTTCGGCCATGTGGATAATACTTTTTAATGAAACAGCTGTTGATTTTTCAATTAATTGTGTTTTAAACAACACACATTTATCAGGAGTTACTAAATTGTCCAAAAGAAGTATTTGCAATGCTATTTTATGATTTTAAAATGTATTTTCTTCTGTATCATGTCATGTTTTGCAATATAATATTCCATTACGAAATCAGTGGAAATTCCTTTTATCACAGAACTCTTACAATAATTCCTTATTGAACTATCTTATATCTGCTGTACGGGTTGTTGTCTGCCTGTTCCCCCACTTTTGCCTATATTTTATCATATTATTCTACATATCATCATTGGTTCACGAGATTATTGTTATACATGTTTTCAATCATTGTAAAAATCTTCGATTGTGTAATACAATACAAAATTATACAAGTGCAGAAGGGCACGGTGCCCATTTGAGCAGTGTCCACATTCTGCTAAATTAATAGTAGTTTACAGCAACTGGATAAAACATGTTACAATATTTATGTAGAAATATGTGCATAATTTAGAAAGTCAAAACTGCAATTTACTATAGACTTTTCAGAGAGGTTACTTCGATGTTGTTAATTCAGCTTAGTGAAAACATAATATAGAAGTATACAAATAAGAATTTGAACTCTTAGAGAACCTTTGAATGTTATTAAAATAACGAAATGGGTTGCGCATGTTTACTAACGCTACTCAGCAACAAAAACCATTTAATTTATCTCTAAAAATATATTCTTAAAGCGCACTGAGCAGCAGCCTCGAAAATACTATGTAACTTACCTATATAGTTACAAAATGATCAAACTCACATTGTGACATTTATAATTCGGCTTATATTTCTCCAGCAGATTATTTATCTGCAGAAGAAGTTTATTGTGCTCTTATCGTGTGTAATAACATCCAAACACAGAAACCTGGCCTAAAATGGTACCTATTTTGACAAATTATTTAAAGTGGTCTAAATTACGGACCGTGGCTCACTGGGTTGTTAACATGATTTAAAATAACACAAAATTTTGGCTGTAAAAAAGGCACAAAGAGTAAATACTATTTAAGCAGCTACTGTCATGACAGAAAGGTCATATTCCTTTTAAACTAGATCAGATCGCCCTTTATAAGATACGTTGTTTAACAATGCATGTAAGCGTCAATATTTACGTAACAGCCAATTTACATTATTTATTGCTTTTTCCAAATGCCGCATTGTTATGTAATTTGAATTATTTGTTGCCAATGAAGCCGCACAACCATATAAACGAGGAGGCAGTTCAAGAGTAAAAGCCAACTTCACTTCAAGTATATTCCACTACACCTAACTTTCCGTAGATGAATAATTAGCGTAAGCGTTGACAGTGACCGTCGATTTCGACGGGTTTCACCTAGTTATCATTATTATTTTCACAATAATTAATCATGTTATAATATCTTAACTTAGACTGCCTGTGTTGTTGTTGCCTTTGTTGTTATTGCCTGTATTGTGGTTGCCTGTATTATGGTTGCCTGTATTATGGTTGCCTATTGTGGTTGCCTGTGTTGTTGTTTCCTGAGTTGTTGTTGCCTGTGTTGTTGTTGCCTGTGTTGTTGTTGCCTGAGTTGTTGTTGCCAGTGTTGTGGTTGCCTGTGTTGTGGTTTCCTGAGTTGTTGTTGCCTGTGTTGTTGTTGCCAGTGTTGTTGTTGCCTGTGTTGTGGTTGCCTGAGTTGTTGTTGCCTGTGTTGTTTTTGCCTGAGTTGTTGCTGCCTGTGTTCTTGAGTAGGTAGGATGTTTGTGTGTCTCTATGCATTTTTCCAGCTTGTATTGTACTTCAGGGATCTTCTTAATTTATCTTCTTATGACTAACAAAAAAATAATATTTTAAGTTGTTAATATTTTTGTAAAGACTAGGCATACACAGTGGTTGCTGGTACTTATGTGAAGAGGAAGATCCCTAAGGATGCCACACATAGTGGAAAAATGCATAGTGACACAGTCCTTAACTACCTACAAAGGTAATCAAATTCAATTCAGGTTGTTAAAACTGTGATAGCAAAACACGTGTTTAATCATTAGTAATATTTATTTGTTTATCATTAGAACTAGTAAGTTATAATTTCAAAGTGGGATATCGGTCCAGAATATTAGGTAGGCTACGTAACTAAATGCATTAATCAAATGTAGCGACTGTATCTGGGATTTCCCAGTGAACATTTTGCACAGCAAATGATGTAATGCAGTGAGCAAATATTGCCCATAGACCCAGACACCAACCATAACCTCCTTGACATTCTATATAAGGTCATGTAAAGTTAGTGGGCGCTGGTGACTGGACAAGATTACGTGTATGATAAAATTACCACATCCTTCAACAGACGAAGTCAAATAAGAGTCTTTTTCTCTTTTAATATAAAATATTCACAGCAATAACGTAATTCGCTAAAGCTAATTCAAATCAAAGGCAAAATTAGTCTTGAAACCTTTGGAGAGACTTCGACGAACTATTTGTCTGAAGAACGTAGAAAGTTCAGAGTTGACATAAAGTTTGTGATTGGTTATAAGAATAGGTACTGTACTTACTCGAAACCATTGTAGAGTTGGTTTTCTTGCACGTACAAAGGAATACACTTTTCACACTAGGTGTAACTGGTAAAACTAACAGAACAAATCCACTCAGATGTACAACACTGGAAAGGAGCGATAACTGAAACTGAACTGTGGATCGGGGAGTGTGGAGTGGAGTGGAGGTAGGAGAATGACGATGACGTAGACGTGAGACGTGACAAAGACGAAGACAGAAACAATCTCTCTCTCCTCCCTCTCCCTCACTCTCTCTTTCCTTTCCTTAGTCTCTAGCCAGAAGCCAGGTAAGGTGGGACTTGGGATAGGAAAGGTGGGGGAACGGAGAGTGAAGGCAAGGGTCAGATGGATTTGGATATGGATAGAGACACTGAGAGACAAGATAATCTTTGAGAGACCACGTCATCGCACACAGAACAGTTGCCACAAAAATAGTATAGTAGCCTATATATTTCATTAAAGTACTGAAAGTGGCATTTTCCGATGCGCTATGCCGCGCTATCAAGTGTGGGAAAGAGTTTCATGAGTGAAGCTGAGGACGGGAATGATATACAGCAATAACTTATAAGCAATTTCTGTTGGCAAAAGTTATGAACGATGCTTTTCACCAAAACGAAAAAATACATAAATAATAACAGACTTGATGGATAAAAAAGAAATACCACCGTATTTTGTCCCTGGATATGCTTTTTCTCGTAGGGTAAAATACATGTGGTACTTGTTTGTTGTCACTGTTATTTATAGATGTTCATCCTCGAACCATTTACTGTCCCAATTGTGTATTTATTTTCCACAAAATACATTTTTCGTTTAGTAGGCAATTTCTTCTACTACGTACACTTTATCATTTCTCTCATAATGGAGTTCTTCGTCCAAACTATCTTTATATACTTCAACACCGCCCCAAAGTGCACTATTTATCAATTTTCACCAAACTCTATTTTTTCTAGACTTTTCACTGTGTTGTAGTTATTAGTACGGTATATCATACACGGTCTCATTATATTCTCGACGAAGAACGAATTCCGGATCTTGCTGACAACAAGTTCACATGTTGTAACTAAATCGTAGGAAGCTACTAATTTGCTACTAGCTAATTGCTACTGATTTTGGTTGGAATTTCATATGAATGTGTTCAAGTTGATATTTTATAAGCATCAAACTTATTTTGAGACCTATTTTGGTTGTACCTGATGAAAACTATCTAAATTCGTGTTTGGGGAAGAAGAGGTCTAAAAGGGGGCACCCACTCACCCCTCTCTGGGTCCCTCGAGTTTTAGTTCCTGGTTATGTAGCTTGGACGCCTACGCTCTGGCGAATATATTTTACAAATCGAATTTGACTTTCAGATGTCAACTTTCTCTTAAATAATGAGTATTGAGTATTCATACCTTCCGTAACTCTTACTGTTTAAATGGGTTGAATGTTATACACAATCTCAGATTCTACAAGCCAAAACATGATTATAAATTAAACCAGAACAGAAGAAACGATAGAATTTGAATGAAAATGAAATATATTAGATTAGTCGTACTCGATAACTCGAGTAACTTTGATCAGATGTTGATAAAATTTTACACTGATGTGTAGACTGGATAAACTTGAAAGAGTTCGCGAACCAGCAAGATTACGAGATTGAAACTGGGGTTTTGAGGTGTTTACCCTTATAAATATGCCCAATTTCCTTTCAACCATCGTGTACAGCTCGAAAAAAATAATAATTTTGTATGTTGAGCATAACGCAACAAAGTTAACGTTGTACAGTAAAAAATTACGGAGAAAATCCAAAAAATCCCTAATTTTGAAATTCTTGTGCTATTCTTATGGATTTGTACTATTGTAGTTTGCTTCTTATGGCTATGTTTTGATTAAATTCGGCAAATTTAGGTATTTCGCACTATACCAAGTAAACACTTTTCTCATTCCCTGTAGTAGCAAAACGAAATACTCGTTAAAATGTTATTTAAATAGGGAATAAATCGGACATGTTTAAGGAAATGTTTTAGTGCGGTGGGGATATCATCAATGACTAGGGTGTTTCCAAACTATCTGGATATATTTTTTGGACTTGTTCCTTCGGCTAAGACAAACATAAAATGCCATAAAAGTAAGGGTCTAAAATGCCTAGATTTCTATCTGTCGGTCTGTTTGTGATTTTTAAAAACTGTTTTTTATCTTGGGGATTTTTCAAGATAGAAATTTAAAAATTTTATAAATGTGTAGTTTCGAAGGTAAAAAGTGCGTAACAAATTTCGCTCCAACATCTCAAGCCATTTCAATATGGCGGCAATTAATCTTTAATGCCAAAATAATTCCATGAAAACCGAAAATATTAAGAAATTGTTTTTACAATCGAAAAGAGAGATTTTAAATCCAAATCGAATGAGCCTTTTTTAGATAAAATCGGATGACAAACAACCGAGTTATTCGTCTTTTATACATTCGGTTACGCAATTTAATAGCACCTAAAGAACAGTAAGGTAGTTCTTTTAAATTGCGTAACCGATTGTAGAAAAAAACTTATAACTCGGTTGTTCGTCATCCGATATAAAATAGTTTAAAAAAATGTCAAACAGGCCGACAGACAGAAATCTAGGCATTTTAGATTCATATGGCATTTTATGATTGTCTTAGCTCAATGAACAAGTCAACAAAATATGTCCAGGCAATTTGGAAACACGCTGTATACCATTTATGGTAAAAAGTAAATGGTATTATACTCTCTTACCGAAGGAGGCCAAATTCCAATATATCGTTCGATATGTTAGAATGAACACAGCCTTGCAACGTCGTTAAACGTTACACCATAGTTTATGGCGTCGTAACAGTAACTGCTCTAATCTCGCTCTAAACCTAGATATTGCTGTCGTATGAATTGTCGCATATTGGCCACTGAATTGTTCCGCTAGCAATGTAACTTTATCGTACATTTGTGTATTAATTATTGATACCAATTATAGTGAAGTTGACGTCTCATGTATGTGGTCCGGGAACCTACAAGATCGAAAATTTACTACGTAGGTTTACACGTTTATATAAAATTTAATCAAAATCGGAGAGTTTTTGCTCGAGTTATCGTGCTAACGGACACACACATACATACATATATATTTGCCTCTAGGGACCTCAAAACGAAAAAGTAAATCGGTCCCGGGTCCAGGTCGTACCATGAGTACTACGGTAATAGCTTATTCCCTATATAGGGAAATTCGCTAACAGGTTGTAGTTAGCTGAAGCCTGGTCCAACTTCCAGGTTCCAGTTCCAGTAATGTTTGTTCCTAGTTCCGTTACAAAACTGGGTCTATTCAGTGTTCAGAGCAGGGAACGAATGGTAAGCCACCGTGTCGGGTCGGGTCCGTTGCCGCCGTCTACAACACAACGAGAGTACACAACAGCTGTTACATTGTCGATGCTTGGATTTCAAGTAGTCTGTGTGGTGGGTCATATCATTGACTATATAACACTAGTCAATGGTCATATCTCCTGGCCGGTCTACTTGGGACTGTCACGTGCTTTCATAGGTCAGTCCCAGGTAGACGGAGGGTCAGGAGGCAGGTTCCATCGTACAGACTATAGGAACATTGGAAAATCTGTGCATACAGTAAACACCCTCTAAACGACCCTTACGTCCTAGGTCGTAAAACGAATAGGTCGGTTGAAACTCGAACAATACAATAAAGTTAACAACCGTACAAACATGTTTATGGATTGTATAATTGAAAACCCTAGCTGCAATCAATGCTTGATTGTGCAACGTTTTACAATAAAGTGTACCCAAGTAAAAGTATGCAAAAATATCGTTTACTAACATATTATTTTGTATTAAACTTCAGAATAATATTGCACAGAATAACATGGGAATTTTAATTTGAATTTTCTCCGTAACCAATCACCGTACAAAAAATACGTTGATATACAACATTGTTTTTTTTAAGCTCTTTAAAAAATCTGGAGAAAAAATTATAAATTTTGTGTCTTAAGGGTAAAAATGAGAAAACCCCATTTTACCCCATAACACCCCCCGTTAAACCTTGTGGTCCGATCATGCTGGTTCGCGAACTCATTCAAGTTTATCCCGCATTACACCTTCAAACCAAATTTAATCGAAATCTGACAAAAATTACTCAAGTTATCGTATTCACGGACATATACAGTGTTAACTGTATCAGTTTAGTAAATGCCTCCGCTCTCATGGGTGTCTAGAGTCGAGTCTATAGTCTGTATGATGGAACCTGCTCCTGACCCTTTATCTACCTGTGGTCTGGCCAGGTTTATGCCACAAGCAGACCTAGGGTCGGGAGACAGGTTCCATCATACAGACTATAGATGTTTATGCAAGACGGTGACGTCATTGTTCCGTTACATAGAGCTACAGACCGTATCGAGTAGACCAGTTACCCCAGATAGTTACATAGTTGAATAGGAAGACTTTAGCACTGCATCAAACCTCAATCCATTGATTATTTTTGTGTGATTATGTTAATTCTATCACGAAACACAGAAAACCTGCTGACTAAATTATTTCCACCTGCCCTTAAACATGGTATAGTGTTTGAATAGTACAAATTGAAAGGTCGCCGGTTCGATCCTGAGAAATGTATGTACTTTTTGTTGGCCCTAAACTGAACTTAGCTCAGGCTTTTAATAAATTACCATGACAGCTGTTCGTAGTCAGTAACAATGCATCACACTCCATTCTATAAACTTATAATCTTCCTTTACTTTTATTTGGGTTAAAATACGCACATAAGTGGCGTCTCCATCTCAATGATTGATACTGATAATTGAGCTCCTGTTGATATATTCACAAGACAATAATTTAATACAAATCAAAGCATTCCGTTTAAACTGTGTTGTTGTAAAACACTTTATAAGTTCACACCTCCAATGATCTTCACCAAGGTAAAAAATGTGTTTTAGCATTTTTGGTTGTATGAATTTCACATTTTACTAATTTATACACCCGGAGCGATGCGAAACACATTAACAACAGCTGGTTATCACGACTTTACAAGCGCCTTCTTTTACAACACTGCTAACTAAGTTACAGTAATGTGTTGTTAGCACGCGTTTGTACTTTACAGGAGCAAATTTAACACCAGAAAAACTAGGTTTGTGATGATTTGGTTAAGTAGACCTAACTTACTCAATTGGCT